GTAAGAAGGAATAAAAACCCAACGTACAACCAGACATTTGTCAGATTAATTTTTTTTTTTTCTTCTTCCTGGCTTTCAGCATCTTGGTACAGGCCAAGCCTGGTGCTGCTTTCTTTGCCAGTGGTGTATTTTCATCACCTTGAACACAGTGTATGGAAATACTGACAAGTGTTGGCAAGAGTGTAACCAGCCCGCCATAGTAAATATTTAACTTCTATGTTCTAATTATTTTTCTTGCTCCCAAATTTATATGCTTTGTTCCTCAAGTAAACAAACAGCCTTGCAAAGATTTATTTGTCCGCTGATGTAGTGTAACTGTATTTTTACCAGGCAAGTAAAATATAAATCATTTCCAAGTTGAAATCAGTCTCTGTGGGAAAGGGAGAATGGGTAGTTTCTGTTACAAACAGTTCACAAATTCAACATGCAATTTATTAAGCTATCCTGTTAGCAAAGTAAGCCTAGAAATGTTGTGTTCTCACGCTAGCAGATTTTGTGGTGGCATTTTTTAAATTGGAAACTTCTTGCTCTGAAATCTCGAGTAATATTGCTATTCTGTTTTCTGAAAATGTAGTTGTTTTGAAGGTAAGTAGAGAAATGGGATATTGTTGTCAAGTCTTTCAGGAACATGAGTTTATATGTTTGTGATGGTATATGCTGTCTGGAGATTGTATGTGTCATGGGTTTGGGTGGGTTGTTTGTTGTTTTTGTTTTGTTTTGTTTGTTTTGTGTTTTGTTTTTAATTAACAATCTCTTGTTTTGCACATGTGCTTACCATGGAATAACTAGAACTTTCTGAATGTGTTTTTACTAACAAAATACATGTATTATGTAAAAATATATTTAGGTGGTATATCCCAGTTGCTGGTTTGTCTCATTAGAACAGGCTTGAAAGAAGTTATTTGCAGTTTTGACTTTAGTGATTTTTTTCCCTTAGCTTTTTGTTGGCCCTTTGGCCATTGCTTTTATACTCATGACCTCTGAATTTCCCCAAGTCCAGATATTATTAGACTTCATGCCAGGTCTCCTGTGGTTCAAAATTAATCTTGCCCTTATATTAGTTCCAAAAAATAAGATCAGTTTGTTTCTAGTCCTAATACTGTTTATGTTCTTGAAAAGTTTTCATCCTCATCTTGTCTTAACAGACTTCTTCCCAGGGGCCTGTAAGGACTATTAACCTCTTGCTGAGAGGGAATTTAGAGCTTGACTTCATCTCTGCAGCCGCCTGTTTTCTCTAGAAGCTTTTGTGGTGTGGTGCAGGACCTGCCTCTCTGAAGGGACTAGGGGGAGGGTGGGTTTTTTTTAACGTGGGGTTTGTTTTTTTTTTGAAGGGGTTTTTCAGTGTCCTTTTAAGCAGTGGAGCTCTTGGAGGACCCTGCCAAATCTGCTGAAGGCTGCAGCCTTAGGAAGGAGAGGCTCCTATGAAGCTGCCACTGGATTTTCATCAAATATGCCCGTGTTGGAGGGGTGGAAGAGCAGGGAGAAGTAAAGAGGAGCAAGAGAAGGAGCAGCTTAGGAACTCCCATCTGAAATAAATGCTCGTCCCTCAGAAGGGCCTTGAGGCTATGATTAAATGCCATGCTTATGGGACTCATAACTGGTAGTTCATTTCTGTTCCTTGGAATGGCTCCTGAAGGGATAATCCTATGTCAATGACAGTAAAAAAAAATAGTTAGTCCTGCTAATCTTAATCTCCCTTGACTCAAAGGACTCCACTTGGGTGGTTTTGGAGATAAAATAGGTTAAAAAAATCTGGTTTCTCTAATACCTTCTGCTCAGAGTACTTGCAGTGGAGCTCTTGCTGTTTAGTGTGACGTGTTGTGGATTGAAGTATTTTAACCCTTAAAGGATGTAATTACAAATCAGATCAAAATTTAGCCCTGTGTTAGTTACAGTTATTCCATGCCAGCTAATACAACTGTGCTCAAATATTTCAGTCTGAACCTGAAATCAGTGAATGTACCTTCTGTAAGAAACATGTCCTCGGTAATTCCTCCTGCTTTTTTTTTTTTTTTTTCTGTACATGCAGGGTTTTATCAGTCTGTCCTTGTTTTTCCAGTCCTTTCAGTCAGGGTTTAGGTGAGTACCGTAGAGTCAGTATTCTGTCCTTGATACAGCAGCATCTGATTAGATCAGCCAGTGCGCAGCTTTTATAACTGTCCTTCTGTTTTGCAGTGAGAAACAGTGTCTTGCTATGAAATTGTTTTTTCTCAGTATCGGCACTTATGTCAAAATACCTTCTCTTAAAACCAGGTCGTGCATGAGGTACCTCTGGGACCTTTCTGCAGTGCTTGCAGGCAGTGTCGTTTCAAATGGAAGCCGATTTCTAAATCCTCTGGGATTGTCTCAACCAAGAAGTGTTGGGCTTTGTTGTCAGTTTTGCTTCTTTCGAAGCAAAATTGACCCCAGTGCTTATGTGTTTGTTCATTGTGTGAAGCTGAGATTCTCTGCCACTGTTTGAGGTGGGCTGTGTGCTCCTCAGCTTGCTTGCCCTCAACCTTGTTAGACAGCCACGTGCTCTTGAGAAAGCTGAGGAGGGGATGGCATGAGCTGTTTAGACCTCTGAACTGAAGTTAGTTACAAGTGAAGTAATTTTCTTTGTAGCACTGATGTCTGTGTTGAAAATGAGCGAGTGAACGGCTGTGGTCTGATACCGTAAACAGAAGTTCCCCATCTTGTCTTAAAGGGAGCACCACTTCCCTTTCTGATCTTCTTACAGCTCCTTGTCATTTCTGTGGAGCACCATTAGGGCTTCGTTGGGAGGAAAATATAATTTCATTTTATTTCCTAGTTAGCTAGCTAGTGCTTTTGCTGTAGTAGCACTCGTAGAAGAGATACGTAGCGGGACCTTAATTCGACGCTTCCTGGTTTTCCATTGTTTTGTGAATTAAACTCATGTTCAGGAAGAACATGAAAAGCACTGACTGTTGTTGTAAACCTGCAGTCTTAAGTAAGTGTTTTCAAGGAGTGATTTTGGTTTTCTTGAGGATTTTTTTGTTGTTGTTTTGTTCAGTAGTACACAGTCTTGTATACATGTCGGCTGTGTTACATGAAGCAGAGATGTTCGTGTTTGAGGTGTAGAAAACTAAATGATACTCGCGGGGCTATACAAAAACTCTGTGACAAAACTGGACAGCTGGATTAGAAGCAGAATGTGTGTTCCCTTCTCTCTTAGTATACAACAGCTTAATTAAGGTGTTTCTTCACCTGTGCTTTTTGAGGAAGGATGCCAGTGCAGAATTAAGCACTGGAAATGTGTGGGAGGATGTCTCTCCGTGGGGATCTCAGTCTCTCTTCACCACCACCTTAATTATCAGCTCCAAACCAGTCAGCACCAGTGTATATTTTCACATTTTCAGTGCGTGTGTCCCCCTCCTGCTTCCCTGAGACATTTGGATTCCCGTTTGTTGGTCCGTGTGGTCCCTGTCCGTGACAGAAGTGTGGGGGTGTGGGGGTGTCTTTGAGCAGTACGTTGGTAGACTTCTCCATCCAAGTCATCACCTCTGCTTCTAGGATGTCGAAGATACACAGCAGCAGCCCCTTCTAGTGGTCCCCTCCCACAGATCTTCACTTTTCCTCCCTACCTGTTGGCCATCCTGGCTTTTCCTCTCTCCTCATGTGGAGGTGTGGGGGCAGAGCACAGCCTTGTTCCCCCATTTCTGTCAGGCCATGGGGCAGCAGGAGGTGGAGCAGCGGTTCCTCGCGGTGGCTCCGGCTCCCGGGCAGCTCTGCCCACCTTCCTCTGTGGCCGGCGGGGAAGGAAGCCAGCCAGACACCTTACTTCCTTGTTGGGCTTGTTTTTGCACGACTTATAAAAGCCTGCAGGGCTGTAAATTGAGTGCCTTCAAGGTATTGCTATGAAATTATTAGTTACTTAACTCGGAGGAAGCCCCCCAGTGTTTGCGGACTCACCCGTTGTCATTGGAGGGAGAACTGCCTGTACTTCAGAGGGTCAGAATTTGACCCAAAGATGTTACTGTCTTCCCTCAAGAAACTACTAATCCATTTGTCTTGTGTTTGAAACCGCGTACAGAAGGCCAGTGTAAGTATGTAAGATTACTTTTTTTGAGATGATTAACATATAATTTGTATGGGGAGAGTAGGGAATTTCCCTGGATCGTACTACTTGTGAATCTTTTGGCTATAGTTTAAGATCTAGTTAGTGCTTTCCTGATTGAGAGGTTGCCAGGGAGAAACTGGGTGTATAGACTAACTCTTTTTTTTTTTTTTTTTTTTTTTTTTTTTTTTTTTTTTAAGGTGGGGTGGTTGTTTGGTTTGGGGGGATTTTTAGTATGAAAATAGCCACGTTGGACCAGGGCGAATTAGTTGTGTCCCTTTAGCTTGTGCGGGCACATGCTGAGGCTGCCTGTTTTAGGTTGTCTGGGCTAGTTTAGCCTTGGAAACAAAAGCTGTGATTAATCTCTCTGAAACGAGATAAAAGGTGTGATCCTGCCTTGCATTAGAGGGAGGTGGAAGTCAGCTTTTCTCACAGCGCGTTTCCTAGTCTTGACACTCCTGAATTTTGACTCATGCTTTTCCTTAGGTCTCCCTCTCTGTTGTGAGTACTCCACATCTCCCTTTCTCATGCCTCAGACAGCTTTTCATGTTCTAGTTAGTTTTCGGGTTCTGAGGCATCTCAAAGAGTTGTTCCTGCCCTTCCCCTGTGTCATGGCTGTGGGTTTTTATTGCCGCAGGTTTTGACAGCGCATTAATTCAGTTTCCCTGCCATACTGGTTAGTCCTTTTATCCTGATGTCCTTGCTTATTAAGTCTTTTCCTCTGGTGGGTCCGTGCTCCTTCTCTGTTCGCAGTTGCCCAGTACTCATTAGTAGCGTTAGTAACGTAACTGTATGTTACTCATTCTGTGGATGAATAACTGCAGAATTACCAACAGCGGTTGTTTTTGCTGCATCATCGGCAGAAATCTGCTTTGGTTTGAAATTTCTTCCCAGCCATAAAGGCTAAACAGTTTTTAATTGAACAGAGATGCCAACTTTGCAGGAGTAAGAACTGTTATCGTAACGATATAGGAAAATTTGTGGGAAATTACTGGAAGGGTGCAAATTTGCACTACAGTACAGAAGTACTCCACTTTTTCCTGATTCTCTACAGCTTTAAATGGGAAAAAAAACAACCTAATTATTTTAATTCTTTTGGACAGGTTCAGCAACAGGTTCACCCAAACCTTTCAGCAAAAGAAGATTCTCTCTATTACATTGAAGAGTTGATACTTCAGCTGCTAAACAAACTATGCATTGCTCAGCCACGGACTGTCCAAGATGTAGAGGTAAGCCTAGGTACTGGAAAATCAAGTGCTTGCTTACAGAATCGCTGAGAGATTTTGAGAAGTGCAGGTTGAAGTTAAAGCAAGGTGAATCTGAAGAGCAGGGCCTGATAATGCTAAGAGATTATATGGTATTCTGGTTTCTCAGAGCAAGCTTAACTGGAAACTCATTTTCCTGTACAGGGCCTCAGAATAGAAATAGTGGAAATTTCTTCTCTCGGCATTATTTTTATAAATGCAGAATACTTTGTTTTCTGCTGCTCAGATACAGTTTGGACTTAAGAATATAAGGATGTTGCAAGTTTTCCTACTCTTTGACATAAATATGAAGGGGAAAAAAAGTAAATATTGGAATGAAAGGTTACTGTTGTTAGGCCTGGATTGTGCAGCTGAGGGAAATAGAGTTGTATGTTCCTGGAACTTTATTGAACTCACTGAGGCTCTTGTATTATTGCAGCTGTCTGCTTTTGTGTCATCGGTTACAAAATGAGGGCTTTAATGGAGTGTGCTTCACTATAGAGTCTAGAGGGAGAAAGTGCTTTCGTGTAGCTGTGACCTGTTAGAGCATTGTAGAATATTAATTTTACATCAATCTCTGTCTAGGATTTTCAGCCTAAAACAAAATGAAGTTCTTATCTAATATTCTATATGTGTGTCATGGAAATTAAAAAAAAATAAAAAATAAAGTTACAAACTAATTGACTGCTTTAGATTCTTATTAGAGGCAGCAATCACGCTTTACTCAACATTGATTTAATTAATTATTAATTTTGGTTTATGATTAGTGTATTTTGTAATACTGATGCATAAAGACTATAGTATGACTAAATAAAAGCAATGCTTAATAGTCCCTTAATAGCTCTCAGGATTGTTACTACCTTGAATCTGGATTTGAACTTTAGATGTGGAGCTGAGAACTCCCTGTTCTTTCTCCAGTTGCCAGCTGATCGAACCCTTCAGCACACAGGACAGTTTTTGAGATAACACTGATTGTTCTACACACCAACTCTGTGCTTTTCTGCCTGAGTCATGAGATGATAAAATCACCCTGTGTACATATGAATCAAAACTTTTCATTGGGCATGTGTATGCTCCACAAATTATTGTGTGCGAAACTGCACACACCACAGACATCCTGCTGAGATAACTGACAGCTCCCTGAATCGTGGTTATGAATATCACAGCAAACACTAAATCCTGTGTATTGTATTTGAAATGTACCTGGCATTTTAAAGCTGCGAATAATAAAACATTGTTGCACTTGGCAATATAACAGTTACTTTATTTAAAAACACAGGGCTAAGGTCTAAATAGTGGTAATGGGTTCCTCAAAACGTTATTGTTCTGTAGGTCAGTAAGTTCAGACTCTTCCAGAGCAGGGAAAGTAGAATTCCGATTTGTGTTGTGGCTTGTTGGTGAGATTGTGCTGCCAGCAGGCATCCGAGATCCAGGAATGAAGGCTTTTGGCTCTGCTCCTCAGCTGTTTTTAGCTGTTCAGAGAAAACATGAGAGCTCTGATCTCTTAAAGTTTATCGTGCAGATATTTACATAACAGCCTGGAGTTAATGGAGCTATTTGTGCATAATATTACACGTAAGTATTTGCAAGATCAAGGTCTAAAAATCTCAAATTATAAAGGTTTTATAAATAGGAAAAGCCCTTCAAATTCTTCCCAAGAAAACACTGGGGACCAGTACAGTCCAAGCACGAAAGGCGTGCGTTACTCATGAAGCAGACTGTTAAGTTGAAGGTCTCCATTATGTCCATTTTGCGGGTGATCTCCTGGTAGAATCTCACAGAAAGTTCATCCTGGTGAAGCAGCGCAGAGCTCTCGGCTGCTGCCCAAGAGGAAAGGTCACCGGGTGTTTACCTGGCACAGACAGCTGACGCAGAAAGTCGAGCGTTAAACGGCCACGTGCAAATATTTAAAAGCTGCCTCTAAGACGACCTCAGGCCTCCTGTTAAATTTCAGACTATGTGCCAAAATCTTTTTATCAAAGGGCTATATAGATGTCACCATTTTATTTTTTTTTTTCAGCTCATCTATAAAATCTCTCCTCTAAGAGCTGCCACCCATCCAGGCCTCGGGTCCAGTGCAGAGGTCGGGTCCGGCACCGCGCCGGGCCTGCCTGGCAGCACCAGCTGGAGTATGGGCAGCGTCGTGGGCCTTCTCTCCCCCTTGAGCTGTCCAGCCTAAAAAAACCTGTTTTTCCAGAGTTGCCGAAGCTGTCCTCAGCAGTCAGTTTAGAGTCCTCCTTTCAGCATTTAATGCCCCAGGAGCTGTGGCAGGAAGCCGGGGTCTCGCCACGTGTGTAACTGGGGACTGCTCCCCAAAAGCAGTTTGTTCTGGTGTGGGGCTCATCTCAGCTGTTCCTGTAGCAGCTGTTGAAATGTGAATTTATATAAAACTAACCCGAAATTGCTTACAGTTTACTATGGCGGTGGGAGTTGTAAACTGTGGCCACTGTAACTGCCAGTGCAGCGGGGAAGATGCTCCTGTGCGGGCCCGAGGAGTCCCTGGTGTTATAGCCAGCCTTTTTCATGAATCGCAGCCCTCCTCCTAGTTCGATCATGCACTTCTTTCCCATTTCTGAAGAAACTTGATCTGATGTAGGGCAAGTTTACACTCTTTTACGAAACAGGAACAATACTGACTTTGCTTTTTACATTTAGACTGTAAACTGCTTAGTACTTCCTTATGTTGTTTATATTTTGGGCTCTTGGTCTCAGCTGAGGTTTCTTACTGCTCTTGTGATGTAAAGATCACAGAGCAGGAGTTGTTTTAGGAGATCTGAAGTTCTTGGTGCTTCAGGAAGGAAGGTTGTTTGGGATTACAGAAAAGAGTGAAGCCGTGTTGGGTAAGGAGGAGAGAACAGTTAGGAAAATGTGTTGCAAACACTGAGGAGGAGGATAATTGTCTATACTACAGGGGAAGTAATTTGCAGTTTTGGGGGTTTTTTTTAAACTTCTCTTTGATTCCTGCGGTTAATCTAAGTGTACTTTTTATGTTTGGACAGGAGCGTGTTCAAAAGACATTTCCTCATCCAATAGACAAGTGGGCGATTGCTGATGCGCAGTCTGCTATAGAGAAACGAAAAAGAAGAAACCCTCTCCTGCTACCTGTGGACAAAATACATCCTTTATTAAAGGTACTTTAAACCAACAACCTGATGACAGCAGCTTCTGCCCACCCGGCTGTATTACTGCCCTCCAGCACAACCTTTGAAGTATTTCTTTAATTTGTGTGAAATTAGGGAAGTTTCTCATACTGGCTGAGAGAGTGGAGAGTCACCATAGAACAGGGTGTGAATATATTGTAGCGTGTAAGAAAAGTAGATCCCCTAAATTCATCATGTTGTAGACGTTGGCGTGTTAATGTATTACTCTACTTTGAAATACGACTAGTTGGTTTTTAACATAAATAAAACCCAAACTCAAATACCTTACTTACTTCAGTAGCACTGTTTTGACACCTTTATTTGTTTCAAAATGCTGCAGGAGCCAAAATGGAAGAAGAGAGAATGAGTTGATCCTGTTCCTTGTATACTGTCAACTAAGATGTGTATCAGTGTCCTTTCAGTTGCTGCTGAATGTCACTGCTGCCTTGGTTTTAAAATCAGTAGATCTGCAAAGGTGTAACGAGACCAAATGCTTTATTGTCAGTGGGTTTTGAGGAGGAGAGTGGCCCTCTAGGTTCTTAGATGTCATGTTACTTGTAACAGGTATGGAGCTCCTTGTTTACTGTCAGGAGTTAGCATCACACGGTAGGCATGTATGCATACTGTGCCCCTCAAGGGGGATTTTTTAATGATAAAAAAGGATTTTTATCTTTTTTTTTTTTTTTAGATTTAACTGATTTTTAGATAAATGTTAAATCACGTTTAGATCAGTGCTGAATCAGTAGATTTGGGCTGATTCAAACACTGCTCTTTTTTTGGCATTTCTTTTTTCTATTGATTTTTCTTTTAGTTCGTAGCTTAAAAAATGCTTTTCTTCAGTGGTGGCATTGTTGCACCACAGTGTCCAGCTGCATTGAGAAAACATTATTTAAGCACAAGCAGAAATTAAAGCACTTTTTCAGGTGTAATCACTGTGTGTTACATACAGTGTCCCAGTTTGTGATTTAAGGAGAGGGGAAGACATGTTAGGAAAGAAAACAGCATTAAATAAGATCTTCCTAGACAACACTGGCTTTCTTTTTATGAAGTCTTGGTTTAGAAATGTGTAGACATAGGCGGAGAGTCTGATTTTTTTTTTAGAAGATGCATCAAAATACGATCAGAACAATACTGCCTTATTCAAATGCATGAACTTACCCGTACTGACTCCTGATGGTGCTGTCACAAGTGAGAGCCCATGTGGTGTATGCTCTGGAGAACACAAAGCATATATCACAAGGAGAACATGCAGTGATCATCCTGGGTTTTTTCTACTCAGACTTTTAATTATTTAAAATTTTGTGATATGTAATGCAAAGATGCAGATAGCTTAGTTGTTCAGCCACATGTAAAGGATGGACTAAATAGGATCACAGAGGTTGAACATACAGTCTGTAGTTTTTCCATGTAGAACAATTCAAAATGAAGCCTGCTCTTTTCTGAAGAGTCCAAACTAAGAGTCCTGCAGTAAGCACAGATAAAGACTAAAATTTAAGTACAAGAGTGGTTCCAATGAAGTCCCTTTGTTGAAGGAACTCTATTTTTAGTACTGTCATTTTTAGAGGAAGGATTGTTGAAAGTTCTGTAGCTTTTCATCTGTCAGTATATAGCAAAATAGCACAAGGCGGTATTTCGAAGCATTTCTTTTGAGGCAGCTGATCAAATTTCCATTTGATGTCCTTTGCCCTGCCTATTACATTACTGTAAATGATTAACACAGACAAGATCACTTTCAGTAGAAAACTCAATGTGTTAGTTGTCATTCCGAAGGAATTTCTGGAATAAATAGTTGTTGGGGTTTTTTTTTTCTCTTGTTTTCGATTTACAGGAGGTCCTAGGTTATAAAGTAGATTACCATGTCTCTCTGTATATTGTGGCTGTCTTAGAATACATCTCAGCTGACATTTTAAAGCTGGCTGGAAACTATGTTTTCAATATACGACACTTTGAGATCTCCCAGCAGGACATTAAAGTATCAATGTGCGCTGATAAGGTAAGAAGTTGGGATTAAAGTGGTCTTTTGGACAGATAGAAAGGTAGATACTAGAGGTGTTTTTTCTTTTTTTCTTATATTTTCTTTTAAAAAAAAAAAATCCGAAGTAGGATAGGAGGGAGAGACTGGTTTTACTCAAATGCAGAGGCTTCTCTCCTTATTCATGTGACAGTAAAGACTTAAGTTTAAGCTAAGCCTGTTAAGTTTTGGAACAGTAGTAGTAGTACTTAAAAAAACAATGCAAGGACAGAAAATGTTGTCCTTTGTTTCTCAGCTGTGTTACTGTCCTCCTGATGTCACTTTGTCATGACAGCTTTTTCCTTCTTTATGATACAGAAACGACATCTAGTTTTCATCCTCATAAAAATGAGAAACAGTTTTGTTTAATTTTATCTTTATCAGGAGGGTTTTGTCAAAGGCTTATGCAAAATGCCTTGTTTTCAAAGTTGATTCTGCATGAATTGTAACTTGTTTTCTAGGTTGTACTAATGTATAAAGGGGAAAATGGCTTTGGCAACAGATCCAGCCTTCTGCTGCCAAAGTTTAAATATTACTCCCTTGTGAAAGTGATCACAGAAAGTATTGTATTAAAAACTCAAAGGATTTCTCTGAGCACATTGAAATAGCTGAGCTTGAGCCAAGTGTAAAAGTCAGGCTTGCATGTAATTTTTAAAATTTCTTTGCTAGGTTTTGATGGATATGTTTGATCAGGATGACATTGGTTTGGTTTCTCTCTGTGAAGACGAGCCCTCTTCTTCTGGGGAACTCAACTACTATGACCTAGTGAGAAATGAAATTGCAGAAGAAAGGCAATATCTGCGGGAGCTGAATCTGATAATAAAAGTATTTCGGGAAGCTTTCCTATCAAACAGAAAATTGTTCACACCTAATGTAAGTCCTTTAGTAGGTTATTGATGTGTAATGCTAGTCGCTCCATTAGCAGCCATAACATATCAATATTACATTCACTGCGTTGGAGGTAAAATTCAATTTGATTTATTGTATGTCAGTGCATAATGAGTGTTGACTGTATGTGAAATAAAATGGAGGAATTGCCATTAATAGTATGAAGAGTGCTGCTCTCAGAGCGAAGCTTAATGGACATGATTCCCTCTCAGATGCCAGCAATAGCTGGAGTCCTTTGGTCATGGAGGTAATAGTTAGTTTTGCTTAACACAAAAATTAACAGGTATCTACCTGCCCCTGTCTGCAGAAACTACAAGTAAAACAGCCCTTGGCTCTGGGTTCTCTAACATATGACTGACTGTGAAGGGAATCTCCATTTGATAAATGATTGAAATATTTGATTGAAATTGTATGTATGGCAAATTCTGGGTTCAGGATGCTGAGGTCTAAAAGGAACTCGGTTCTTGTGAGAGAAGTAATAACGAGAGATGAGTGAATCCTTCCTGTGGGAGGAAGAAGGGCAGCAGAACCTGAACTGGGATTTTTAGATACCAGCAGGTTAAAAAGAGATGCAGCAGGAGACATTCCCATTAGAGCTGGGTGTGGAGGTTCCTCGGTAGCTGATAGGATATCAGAGAATTGTGCAAATGTGGGGATAGAATTCAAACGAAAACGATGGGAGGAGCAGGGAGTGATATTTTGGAGCTGAGGAATATTCTTTTGTTATACAGGAATGGGTATGAGAAATTTTGAGATTGCTTGTTCCCACGAAGAGCTTGCCATGGTCTTGGCTCTGGCAGGAGGTCAAGCAAGCTCCGCAGTGTTGGGTTGGGGCAGAGAGGGCTTCTGAGAAGCATGTTTCAGAGGGGTCAGAGGAAGAATGTGGGTCACTGGAAGGGGCTGCCTGGTTGGGTGAGTTTGCGATGTGGGGATTTGAAAACTCTAAAAGTAGAATTTGGAAAAGGAAGCTGCCAGTTCCTCCTCTGTAGCCGGGTAGTATTCTGCTAAAGTAGCCAAGTAACTGCTTTAGTTTTACCTGTGGTTTAGAGGATCTGACCTTGGAGCCACTTTAAATAACTCCTGGTGTGTTCTGAGAGAAAGAATTGGCAGAGGGGAAAATAACAGCTGTGAATTGTGGCTGAAAGGGCCAGGCATTTCTGGCCAAAGCCCTGAACAGCCTGTACCAGGACTGCCGCTGCTCGGGCCTGGGAAGGATGGTGTTCTCGCTGGGCTGAGAATTGTGCAAGGCTGGATGTGCCCAGGCAAGCCTGCAGGGCTGGGAAGACCACGTAATTTAACTTTCTTCCTAGCTTTTTGTTGGCTCTTCTCCATTTACCTCTTGGTTCAGGCTTCATGGAAAATGCTCCAATATTTACGTAAGCAAAATAAGTTATTCTAAACACTCCTAAGATATGTTTTATGTTTGCAGGATATCGATGTGATATTTAGCAACATTTCAGATATACATGAGTTGACAGTGAAACTTCTAGGATTGATTGAGGATACTGTTGAAATGACTGATGAAAGTAGTCCTCATCCTCTGGCTGGCAGCTGCTTTGAGGATCTTGCAGAGGTATGGTGTTTTGTTGGGGTTTTTTTGTTTGTTTTCTTAAAATCGCTGCTTGTTTTATTTTCTTAGTAAACTTTTGGTCATGACTGATATCTCCAGTAAATTTGTTGTTGTAAAATGTCCTTTTAATAATCTCTGAACAGAGATCTTCCCCACCTGTTCTTTAGTAGGTAAGCTAAAGTGTGTTTTCTACCTGTCCACAGAAGTGATATCAAGCAGGTAAGCACGAAACTAAAATCTTATTTTGGAGTGGGAATTAATTGCTACGATCCCACAGGGATGTGGATTTGAAAAGCAACTGCCTGAGATTGCTTCCTGAAAGAAAGTGGTGCTTTGATTTTTGTAGGCATTGGTGTCAGGCCCAGGGCAACCCCAAAAATCATAGCAGCTGAGCATAGATCTGTGAGATGAGTGACTTGTATGACTCTGGACAGTGAGCTAACTCCAACAAAATGTGGTCTTCAGGCAAATGTGGTGTTATACATCTGGAATGGGAAACGTCTCTGCAAAGCAGTGGCTCTGGGAAGGAATGAAGTATCAAAACAGATGTGCAACTGAACAGAAGCTTACTGTTCAGTATTGTGGCAAAAGTGCTGTTGATACCCACTGACCTAGAAAATAGGAATATCGGAGTATAATAGGAATATTAAAGTAGGAATAAGGGAAGACACTGCACATGGATTTGGTGTGGCTCATACTGGAACATTATTAACAATTATTTTGTCAGGTGTTTGGGGTTTTTTTTAATAGTTATTGAAATACTGGAAGGACTAAAGAAGAGAGTCACGAAGCTAAAGTTTTCAAGAAAGTGCTTTACAGTGAGATAGAGTTCAGTTTAGACAAAAAAGGATGGGGGATACAGGTACTTTTATAACCTGAAAATAGAGTACAAAATGATTCTGGAATTCATTAGAGAGGTGCACAGCAAAAAAAGCAGTATCTGAAAAACTTAGAAATACAGCACACCTTTTTAACTGTCAAGGAAGGTAACTCTTGGAACAAATTACCAAGGTAGGCCTTCGTGCACCTCTCAAGAAAATGTAGACTCCATTTAAAATGTCCAAAGTGCAGTTTTTTAAACCAAAATGTGAGAGTAATCATGTAAACCACATCAAATGTATTACAGAAAAAGTCAGATGAGGTGTTCTGGCCCGAGAGGGAAAGTCTCTTGGATGAACCACATGGTGAACGTGAAGTTTATGGGTTTTATCTTTATTATTATGTTTATAAAGAAACAGACAACCAATAAAAGTTCCATTTCTACGTATTTTCAGTTTTTAAAATCTGAGGACTGCATGAACTCAGCAGCACCATTTGGAAAATGATCACGTTTTTGTGGGTGTGAAGAATGCAGGTCCTTCAGCCCATGTGCCACTCAGTTATGAATATACCATGAGATGAAGTTTTCCTGACATCAATAAGCCACTCATGTAGTGTATCAGTACAAAAGTCCAGCTGAGTGGGTCTTAGCTCTTCAGTTGTTAGAGCATAATTGCTCATATAAGGGTAAGGAGAAGCATTTGAACAATGAAATAAAGTAAGTAGCTATTATATTAAAATTGGAAAAAAAAATTGGAATAGTACAGCACTATCCTGGGAAAACGTACGTATCTCAGTTTATTGCAATAGTTAATCTTAGGCATCCTGTGCTTTTAAGGGGAACATCCTTTTCAGTTAGTAAAAATCTCACCTGATTTTCATTAACTGAAAAAACTTAATTAGGAAATGAAGAACATTATTCTTCAAACCTTTTTATGCAGGTAGTAAGTTTGAATTTAATAATTCAGTTAATACAAAGCAAGACCTACTTAACTGGGCTGCTCGCTTGATCATCTCACATGTTGAAATCCTCTTTCTGTCAGTATTTGCAGAAGGGATCATTAAAGAGATATGGAAGTGAAGTGTTTATTTGCTCTGCCTATCTTACTGCCTGGCTTGTTCGTGTAGTGTTTCCATTATAAAGGTCCTCCAACTTATTTGGAAAGATAATTAAAAACAAACAACCCTGGCAAGCTGGAATCTTCCTGCTTTGTGTGTTTTTCTACATCAGTTCTCTGGAAGGGTGAAACATAAATATTGTAATGTTTTTGAAATAAGGAAGTATGGGGAAAATAAAACATTTTTTTTTCCTGGTATGGAGGAAATTCAAAAACTTTACACCTGACACATCTGTGTGGGAGATGGATATTTGTTCATATGCTGGTTGAAAAAAATGTACTTGGTGTGGTAGTTTTTACAATTTTAACTACTACAGTGTGTTTTAAGGATTGCCTGAGATAATCTCAGATGTTCAGCTGGTGGTGGGAGAGCCTCAGAATTGAGGGCAGAGGGTCTTTGTGCCTACTCTGAAGTGGGCTTCAGAAGGCAGCTAATAAAGCAAGGTTACCAGTAGGTTGTAAGTTTGTTATGCTGGTATTTGCCTTTCTGTAGGAGAAGTTTTAGGAAGCCACAAAGCAAAACAAAACAAAAAAAAAAAAAGGATGGAAATCGGTGTACTGCAGCAAAAGGGGCAGAAACACCGATCCAGAACTATATGCTGCATTAATTTACATGGACATCAAGTTAATGTCTCCATATTGCAGTGACTTCTGCAACAGCACAAGTGTAAAACCCCCTCCCTTGTTTTTTGTGGTTTTTTTTTTTTTAATTAGTCTCTTGGAGATGATACTTAATGCAGTTTGTTTCAATCCTTGTGTTTGAAAAAAACAAAACCAAAACCTCGAAATACTGATTAAGGGCTGAAGAAACTGAAAACACTTCTACAATGCAGTAAAAAAATTTTAAAAGCACAGAATAAGTATATATTGGTCTGGCTCCCCCCAGCAGATTTGCATGCAGGATTACTGCAGCCATCTGGCCATTCCTGCTTACTGCCTCTGGATCCAGGTGACCCCCCCACAACCCCAAGAGCTGATTTACTGCTTTTTCAGAGGTTTAAGTTCTTGTTCTCTTTTTTTTTTTTTTTTTTTTTTTTGTTACTGTCCCTTGTCTTTATTTTGGGTGTTATCTTAAAATAAGATCTCCATGTTGTAAGTAGTGGGCAGGCATGAAGTAAACAAAAAAAAAAATCCCCACAAACCCGAATCCAGATTCTGCTTAAGAAAACCAGCCTGTTCGGTTAGAGAGTGTCTAATCTTTTCAGCTGCTGCTGCTGAAGTGCCAAACCTCCCTCCCCTCCCCTTTCCTTCCACCTCCCAGATACAGTCTAATGCGAATGGACAGTGATGATTAGCACTTCGATGAGGAGAATTGCGAGCTATGGTTATAATTTACACGTGAAAAGAGAGTGCATTCTGTGCCTCTCCTCCCCACAAAGAGTTTAATTGCTGCTGCCCCCGTGAGTAAGGTAGGAAATCCCCTGAACCCTCTGCAAATGGAAAACTTGAGACTTTACCTGCACGTTCAAATGAGCCTTGGAGGTGGTTGGTACTCCGGAATTCTGCAGCCTCTCTTCTGCCAAGCGGTGCTGCATTAAGGTGAAAAGAGGTATGTGCTTATTCTGGGCAGCGAGCCATCAGCCCCGGATAACGCGGTGATTCAGGAGTGATGCCGCCCAGTGAATCTGCAGAGACTCGGCAGCAGCCTGCCAGGCTCTGGAGCAGGTGATCTGTGAGCAGGCATAAATCCTTCCTGCAGAGAGTCATGTACAGTCAGGTTTTCATCGCATCCTGCTGTAGGTCAGATTACAGAATCACAGCCAGATCGTCCATCCACAGTCATCATTTTTTACACCTGAAACTCCTGGTGTCGTCATCAGAGGACTTTCCTCAGAGACTCAGCCTTAGCTGCTTTGTCCCAGAGTCAGATCTTTTGCCAGCCTTCCAACAGGGCCAGAAAAGTGTGCAGAAGTCCAGTGCTTATGGCTGAGCGTTCCCATGTGATGCACCCTGAAGTGGTGGTGGTACAACAATCCCTTCTCGTGACAGTCTCCAAAGTTCATCTTTACCTGCGCTTCTTCCCCAAGTGGCATTCTTAACTGACAGGGAGGAGTTGCCATTCGTGTAAAATGTGGGTGGGCTGAAAGCCCCAAATTTGTGTTAAGTGATAAATACGGTGAGATTGAGGAGCGCTGAGAGAATGTTGTGTGCGTTTAAAATTTTTGGAAGTGAAAAAGGGTTGCGGTTTACTGAAGATTTGTTTTGCAAAATCGATCTTCGCTTGAAAAGTTCCACTTGTGTATCAGCTCGTTCAAGGAATTAGTTGTACCAGCTGGGACAAATATCTTGCATCCTTCATGTATGTATATAATTCTCTGTTTTTATTTAGGAGCAAGCCTTTGATCCATATGAAACCTTGTCCCAGGATATTCTCTCTCCACAATTTCACGAGCATTTTAATAACTTAATGGCAAAACCTGCTGTTGCTCTCCACTTTCAGGTGAGTGCAAATGAGAAATACGGAATTGCGTTAGTTCTCCTATTTCAAAGGTTTGAGTCTTGTCAGTAATTCTTTACTTCCTTCTGAGGAAAAAATCCTCTAGATTCTGGCCTTTCTTCAGTGTGCCATTATTTGGACTCTGCCTCTTCCTGTAAAAACTGGACGTAGCTCTGACCCATCCACGAGTCTTTTGCAGGTTTTTTTTTTTTGTTCTCACATCAGACATTCTTGCTTGAGAATAGAGAGCAACTTCTCATACCTGCCACTTCTGTTTCTCTTTTGCCTTTTAATGCCAAACACAGCCACCCAGGCACAATATTTTCATTTTCTTCCATACATATCCCAGGCCACTTTGTTCGGCATTGAGACAAACCAGCAGTTTTTCTTGAACCGTTTCTTTAATAGGACTATCCAGCAAGGTGATTTTTATTTTATTTTTATTACTTCCTTCTGCCAACGTGGCACATCTGTTAAAGACTACTGTTCAGAAGACTGAGCTCGTATTCAGAAATGCACTTAGAGAAGCTGCTGAGCAAGTGTTAGGTCAGTGGTGCTCCCAGCTAAACCCATTACAGTACGGCTTAGTTTGTACAGTTCACTGGGACCCATGTCTCTGCAAGATGAGATTCCTCTGAGCCATTCCTTCAGGGTGAGTGTTTTCTCTTCAGCTCTGAGTGCTCGGTAAGATGGATCATCTCACTCTTAAATACTACTTGGTGAATGGAAAAAGGTCTTTTACCTGCTTCCTTGGCAAATTCAAAGCCCAAAGCTCTGTTCCAGATTAAATTGGTAATGGAGTCATTTGACAGTGAACCTGGTCTCCCTTCTGACTCCTCACCATGGAAAGGTTTGGGCTCTCCTAGGGATGTTCCTTCACATTTATTCTCCAAGCTCTGGGCCATGAGCTGTCTCTGGCAATTGCAGAGAGATGCAGCTAAAAGTCTTTAACTGGAGGGAGAGATCAGTTCCAAAAAGGAGCTCAGGTAATTCAGTTTCTGATCAGTAGTTACCTTGATATGGAAGGTGGCAGGGATTCCTCTGTCCTTTGGAAAACCTCTCCTCGTCTTACAACCTGAGTTACTGCATTGATTAACTGCTGGGAATGGGAAAAGATTTCTGACTCATTTCCTAAGTCATAAACTTGTGATTCTTAGTTTCTGAGGGAGAGGAGATACTAAGTTCTTCAGTACTTGATGAGACCTCCGTATTTCTGTGGTGTAAGTAAGCTGTAAGTTGAAGACAGCCTACATAAGTGAGAGGAGAGGACATTAGAGGGAAGTTGGTGACAAGTTCAGTAGATTGTATGGGAGTCCTGGCTGGGCTTTAACATTCCAGTGTGTTCTTGAAATTCTGGGCAAACTGGCCAGGGATAAAATGTATTATTTTGGAAATGGGCGTAAGATTTTTCAAAAGATACCCAAGCATGTTCTGTGTTCTGGGATGTGGCTGTTGACTGGGGAATAAGGCGTGCAGCTTAGCCATCAACAGTGCATTGTTTTTAGGTGTTGTCATCTTGAACTAATGCTATTAATTGAGTTCTGCAGACTGCTGAAGTACAAAGGTCCAAGGGATTGTGATACAAGCACCTCTACTTGAATTAGTGGATGCTTATAAAATGACATGTGGGTAACTTGGTCCTCTATTTTTTTTATATTTGATTTGCTACTTCTGGCAAAAATAGGGACTATCCAACTGGTTACCCAGCATTTGTTGTGGGGTTTAGGGGTGTTTTTAGAGCAATGGGTTCACTAGTGAGTAAGCATCAAAATCCACCTGAAGCTGTTGGTGCCAAAAGGGTGCTTGCAGTGCCTGTTAAGGGGGTTTTACAGCTTCTGTTTATGGGTTGTCAGAGCATTTATGTGTCTCTGAATCTTAGAAAGAGTCTTATTCGACAAAAATGTTTTTGCAAACTTTGTCTTCCTTACTACTAGATGTAAGCACAGAGTAATGTAGATGGGAAGGGACGCCCTGGATGTGTCTAGCGCAGCCATCCTGCTCAAAGCAGTGCTGACTTCAGGGCCTTGTCCAGTCCTGTTTTGAGTATTTCAGTGTAAATAATCCTCTTAATTTTTCCTTTTCAGTCTATTGCTGAGGGGTTTAAAGAAGCTGTACGATACGTCCTCCCACGACTCATGCTTATCCCAGTCTATCATTGTTTGCACTACTTTGAATTACTACAGGTAAATGAAACTACACTCTTGTTCCCTGCTAAAAGCATTTCTTAATGTGGAGAATCCGAGCTTTTAAATAGGTGATTAGATTTTATTTACTGCTTCTAAAATTTGAAACATATGAAGATATTAATATGACACCAGTTAGTATATGTCTGGAAAGTAAAATCATGTTAAAAAAAACACAAAACAACCAAAACAAAACCAAACCAAAAAACCCACTTCAAAAGCATCCATTGCTCTGATGGGAACATTTGAAATACCTATATTTTAATGAATGTTTATTGAACTTGAGTTCTAATATAGTTTAAAAATTAATATGCAAATCTAATTTCTTCTTTTTCCAAGTTCTGAATTTTTTGCCTGTTCAGAAAAAGCTAAGCATAATTCAGATCAGTATTCTCAGTCTCGAGTCACTCTCCATTTGCAGCTCAGCTTATTTCGGGGGTTGGGGAGTCACTTCCTTTCAGTGGAGTCAGAATAATCTGTTCTTAATGTTCAACCATTAGTCTTGAGTCCTAAATGGAAGAGATACGGTAAAAAAATACCATTTTTCGTAGCATACCACACTTCCTCCAGCTTGAGGAGGAATGAAAACAAGCACTACTATTTTCTGCTTTTCTGTCCTCTAAGAAATGACATTGATGAAGTGTCAAGCTTTATGGAATTCTGATTCAGATGATTAAAAGTTATTCCTGTAGGACATATTTCAGGGATCTTGCCATACAAGTTGTTTAGGTTGGCATCTAGTCCGTATTTGTGAGCAATTCTGTCTGTTGAGGCATTGCTTATTTTAGAGCAGCCTCGATTGGTTTGACCACAGATCACTTGCACATATTTTATTCTGATGTGCACTAGCAAGGTGGTTCGCATCAGTAGATATTTCCCTTGGGTATAACAGCTAAAAGCCAAAAAGTAACTAAGCGTGTATCTTTTTGCTTACAAGCAAATGTTCTTTGCTGTGAGTTATGAGAAGAGAGGGCAGCAGTCAGCAGAAATTTAACATCTGAGATCTATAATAATCATTCTTGAGTAAGGAAAAAAAAATCATATTGCTGTAGAAAATGCGTTATCTTGAAAAATACTTGGATCGGAGCTTTTTTTAAGTAGTTGAGAGTAATGTTAAAGTCTCTCTTTGCTTGCCCCGTTGTGTTGGGAAAGTTTGTAATGCTTCTGAGGGTAAGTGAATTATTAACTAACTGAGATACACTTAAATTAAACGGGTGAAATATCCTGTGGCTATGGCTGACATTTTGAAACAGCAGCAGAAATTACACTTTTTAAATTCTTCAGTGTAAAAAGTGATACTAGCGGGGTATATACTAGCGTACAGATGTGTTATAGAGCCTTCCTTTGTATTTCAAAGGATTTACTTGTTTGAAGGAATAAAAGGAAAACTTTGCAACACAGAACTTGTGTATAATACAACATACAATTTTCTCAGAAGAATCTCAAGCCAAAAAATAGGAATTATTTTAAGACTAGTTAATATCTGGCAAGTAGTTCTTTTTTCTTTCTTTCTTTCTTTCTTTCTTTCTTTCTTTCTTTCTTTCTTTCTTTCTTTCTTTCTTTCTTTCTTTCTTTCTTTCTCTTTCTTTCTTTCTTTCTTTCTTTCTTTCTTTCTTTCTTTCTTTCTTTCTTTCTTTCTTTCAGTTGTCTTGTTTTCATTATGTCTGCTGTGACTTTTTTGCATAGCCTGATTTAGATGAGTAAAAATAAGGAGGATTTATTTTGATCCATGAACCACGCATTTCCCAATATATGGGGTACTAATATTTTGTAGAAAGGTTTAAATGCAAGTGGTCTCAATAAATCTTAAGCCTTTAAGCATTTCTATAGAAAACAGTTAGCAATGCCTAAAAAAACCCAAAACAACCCTAGGTCGGTGAACTTTTCTCTAGATTACTGCACTATCTCTACCGAGAACAGAAATTTTACGTTGCCATAGTTCTAATATTTGCCTTCATAAAGTTGATGTTTCTCTAAGGAGATCTTCCAAAAGAAAATAAACTGCTGAAAAAACTCAAGGATGACTGCAGAAGCAGGGCATGGTTCTGCCAGCCTTGCTGTGAAGTGAGCACTGGTAGCTTCAAAATAGTATAACCTCCCTTTCCCTAAGGGTCAGTTGAATACCATAATTCTCTGGAACTTCTTTAAATGTTCTTCTTTCACTTTTAGATTAGATTACTGACCTGTATTATGCTGAAGGTCAGGCTAATTAATGACCCATTGTGTCTTAAAGCTGGGAAATGGAGTGCATCAGTATGAAATTAAAGAACGAAATAATAGTGCGCAGCTTTGGGGGAATCTAAACATTTGACTGATTTTTACAAGCTGCAGAGTGTTTGTCTGCTTTTTAGGGAAATGCTAACATGTATGCCTTACTGAGCAGAGTTTTGTGTGTTTTCAGAACTTAATCCTAAATGCTTTGCATGCAAATTTGGTAGTTTTGACTTCAGCGACAGGAAGGGGTGGTTTGCTATTTATGTTTTAAACCATGACACCGAGAAGACAATTTGGTTTTGACAGCGTGTCCTAAATCTGTACTGCTGCCGGAGTTTTCCTGGGGGCTCTGAGTCTGCTCATAACTCCCGTTAGTATTGATAGGATCAGGTTATACACGCACATTCTTAAATTTCCTCCTATCTTCGAAGAATCAAGTCTGGCAGATAGTGCCAAAACTTGTTTTGTTTTATTTGTTTTTAACTTGGGTAATAACAGCAGGATGCTTCGTGGAAGATAATATTAGGCAATGCCTTTTTTAACTAGGGAATTTTATCAGTGAAAAGGATAAAATTTGACCTTTATCCACAGTACACAAGATTTCTGACTAGAATTAGAGTTCAGCTGCAGAGGCTGACACTTGGCTGTCTCTAATCTTTCTAACCTTGTGAGCGCAGAGCAGAAATCTTAAATACCATTCTGGAGTGAATAATGGTAAATACAGAATCTTTTGTTGCGATCACTTTAGTTGGAGGCTTAAAATTTGAATTTTATGTTGTAGTTAGAAAACATCCTAAATTTACAGCAGTGATTTCTAAAAGGCAGAGTGCTTTTAGGGATAAAGTACTTATTCAACAATACATGAATATATTATAAACTGTTGGTATTGTTTCTCCGTTACCATTGTATTTGTCTTTAGGAACCTTGGTTGAAAAAGACATAGCAAAAATGGAAGCAGAAAAGCAACAGAATATTCCTATTTTCATGGCTTTAGCAGGGAGAGAAGCTGAGATTGGGACTTAGTCCTAAATAAAGTTACCAAAAAAAACCCCTACTGAATTGGGAGGTAAATAAAATAATGAATGATATACAGAAGTGCAGGTCTCCATGTTTGCTCTTTTGCAAAACAGCAAAACCAACATGAATAAAATTGAAGTGTGGAAAGTTTGAAAATTCTTGTCAAAATTCTCTCCTTGTGTAAAAACTTGTTTGTGCAGCCTGTGATGCAAGATCTGCATCAGAGGACTCCTCTTTCTTTGCCTAAGCAAGAGACATAAGGGTTGGATGTCGGTTGGAGACCCCTATGTTGAATTTGTTTGGTTTGGCAGCTTTTGGTTAGCGGCCGTGTAGAGGTCACCAGAAAACAGCTGTCAGACACCCTGAGTCAGAGGGCAGGTCCTGATGACACTTGAATGTTGATTGCTTGTTCAAGTATCGACAGAAGATGAACCTGCCGTAGGTTGTGTCAGAATGAACGGTGATAGAGAAGGTTGGAGGACATTACACCAAAGAAATAAAACTGACTTGAAGGAAAAAAGAGTGGGAGTGATCAAAAGTTGTTAGACCTTGTGAACAGGTAATCCTATTCTGTCATACCCTTAATTGATTCTTAGAGTGCTTGGGTTTATAACGTTATGCTTGACATATCCAAGCATGAACGCCTTAATGCTGGCAGCGTAGAGGAGAGCTTAATGTTTCCTCAGACTTCCAAGCTCCAGGCATGCTTTCCTAAATGTGTCTGATACCAGAGTTCCAGGAAACGTTATTTATTGAACGTGCTGCAAAGAACTCAAGGGGTCATAAAATCCATCCAAATCCTGAGCAAGATGCCAGTTAGGTGTATCGTTAAAATCCTGAAGATAAGCAGAGGCCAGTTCAAGTCTCTTTTCAAGGCCAAGAAGGCTTTTCTCTGTTGAATAGAGAGTATGTCCTTCCTTCTCATGTGACTTGTGGGCAGAAGTTCATCCCTAGTTCTTGCATGTGACTCGCTGTTTCGTTATCAAGCAGCCCAAAACATAAGAAATTCTGCCTTTTGATCTTTTCCGCTGTTACCTAATCATTGACTGGCAGAGAAGCCCCGGTCAGTATGCTACAGGATCACCCTGGTAGAATTTAAGTGAACAGTATTCTTCATTACTATTTTTTGACAATTTTATGTACAATAAATTGAACAGTTACTATTCTCAGTTTATCACATACCATAGATGTATTTTAGATACATCTAGCACAGGCAGAACCCACCTTTTCCAAAGATTTACGTATTTTCTCTGTCTAGCAAGCATGTTGTGGTTTTGCATTTGCTGTTTTAACCAGAAACACGCTTGTTAAGAACTGGAGTTTGGAAAAGCAGGTGTTAGTCCAGTGCTGACAGAGTGAGATATGCTTCGGGTGATCTGCCTGATCTTCAGGAGTCTGTGCGTTAAAGGTGTGGAAATAGAGTATATTACTTCCAAATGTGTAATTTTAATACAAAAAAAAAAAAGAAAAACATGCCATTTGATATCTGTTAACTGCCAAACTGCCATCCCCCTTTGGAAAGGGGATGCAAGAAATTCTGCTCAGCATATGTGAGGAGAAAAAGTATTTTACCAGACTCAGTAGCTTTTCCCACCTTTAGGATTTCACATTTGTCATCTTTTCACACCATTTTAATGTTCTTTGCATTTCTGTGGCTGATAGTAAGGAAAAGAAGCGTTTGCACAGAGGTAGACATCTTATTTTTCCCTTCCCTGTACTGTTCCTCAGCTCATAAACTTCCCAGAAATTTTTGGCCATGCGACTTTCATTTCTCTAATATGCAAGATGGAGGTTGTTTGGGCATGTTAAAAATAAAAATTTACATGAAGAGAGTGGACCAATCTGGTCAAATCCTGTTCTCTCAATTACTTTTAGAGGAAGCTACATATCCTTGCTGAGGGAAAATAGTGGGGAAAGGAAAAGAAGGCTTCTGCCATGCTGAGTGATTGTAAGTAAGATTTCTCTTAAAAGTATGTAGGTAAGACAGAGTTTATCCCAAACTGCGTGGCAGGTTGTCTTGATTTTGCCCAGCAATATATTTGCTTGAATTTTCTTAAAAAAAAAAAAAATTACCTTAAACATGAAAGGGGTTAAAAAGAAAAATATTTTTCATTTGTATCACTAGTATTTTAGGAGTGATCACCTTAAAGAATCAAAAAGAGGAATTCTGTGAGTAGGCTTTGCCCAAAGCATATTACTACCAAGTGTATGGAGATGATATGAAAGCCTGTTGAATTTCCAAATCCAGAAGTTTCTGCCTAGTGGTGGAGATGGATCTAGTCTTTATAAAAAAGAAATAAGGTGATTCTCACTGTCTTCATGTTTTGCTATTAGTAGCAAATCTTGGATTTCAGACTTTTTTTTACTTTTGTTAGTTTGTACCATGTAAAAGTGACATTTCTTCTTGAAATAAATGAGCTAGCTGAAGATGGCAGCATTTAGAATGGTAAGAAGCAGAGAGGAACGGAGCCGTTCTGTCTTTTAAATTTGCTCTGAAATGTTGAGATTAACCGACTCACTGAAGGAATACTACACATAGTTACATAAAGCAGCATTTAATTTTGGCTATTTCAAACCTCCAACCTATTTAATAAAATCGATGTGAAACAGGACGTTGTTGAAAAGATAACAGGAAAACCAGTGTCTGAGAGTTAGCATTGCCTGGCAGTAAAAGGGTAAAGGGTTATCTTTCTGAACTCCCTCCTGCTCTCTCCTCTTGAGCATCGACTGACTTTTCCTGAATATCTGACAAATGTTTTTAGTTACATGCATAGCTAGTTTGGAGGGTGCTTCTGGTAATAACTACCCCATTGACTTGAAGCCACTGGCTTTAGTGAGTACTGTAGCTAACACTAAGCACGTTTGTCAGTCTTCCTCCCCTTCTACAAACGAGACAAATCTGAAAGAAAAACGTTTATTATGTCACAGCAATTGCAGGAATGCAGTGAAGATGAAGAGGATCGGGAGTGCTTAAAACAAGCCATCACTGCTCTTCTGAATCTGCAGTGCAGCATGGAGCGCATCTACAGCAAACACTCCCCGAGACGTCGGCCTGGGTAATAATCCACAAAACAAAGGGGAATTGTGATATTTTTCTTGTTAGAAATCTATATATTTCCTTTTCAAGGCATGTCTTTATGCAAGTTTTCATTGCAAAGGGAGTAGCAGCCCAAAACCTTCACGGTCCACTCCTATGAATAATGTCAGTATCTTACTCCTTCCCTGGCCAAAGCAGTGCATGTGGCTTATTTGGAACTGTAAATTTGGCTAGGGCATATTTAGGGCAAAGAAATAATGATATAAACAGTTAATTTAGTTGATTTTTTTTTTTGGTCTCTTGGGATGGCAAATGTGGAATGTGCCCATCGTGACTTTTTCTTTTATTCGTTCAAGGGAGCCTGTCTGTCGCTTCTATAACCGACAAATAAGAAGCAAGCACTTGGCCATCAAGAAAATGAATGAAATCCAGAAAAATATTGATGGCTGGGAAGGCAAAGATATTGGGCAGTGCTGTAATGAATTCATAATGGAAGGTGGCTTGACGAAAATAGGAGCCAAACACGAACGCCACATCTTTCTCTTTGATGGTTTAATGATCAGCTGTAAAACTAATCACGGTCAGTCACGGCTTCCCGGTTACAGCAATGCAGAGTATAGGCTGAAGGAAAAAATTATCATGAGGAAAATACAGATTATTGATAAAGATGACACATCTGAATATAAACATGCTTTTGAACTGGTGTCTAAAGATGAAAACAGTATATTGTTTGCTGCCAAGTCTGCTGAAGAGAAGAGTAATTGGATGGCCGCTCTCATTTCCCTCCAGTATCGCAGTACTCTGGATAGGATGCTTGATTCAGTGCTACTGCAAGAAGAAAATGAGCAGCCACTGAGGTTGCCCAGCCCAAACGTGTATCGTTTTGTAGTGGAGGACTCTGAAGATAACATTGTTTTTGAGGACAACTTGCAAAGCAGGAATGGCATTCCTATCATCAAAGGAGGAACGGTTGTGAAATTAATTGAAAGGTTAACGTACCATATGTATGCAGGTATCCTGTACATTTGTTATATTTATGTTTTTTAAGGTCGTGTTTGTATGGGTGATGAAATGAATCCTTTTATCTTTTGTTTGTTTGGGGTTTTGCCTGTGTATAGGTAAATGCAAAGCAAGATTTGCAGGAAAAAAAAAAACAGTATCTCTTATTAAATCAGCTGGCTTTGCTGACAAAGCTGTATGAAAATTTGGATAGGCAAGCTTTTCTCCTCCCCACCAGAAAAAAAAATAGTATCAGTGATCTAATGGAAGCCACTAGTGTGTTTCCTGAGACCATATTGGCTAAAGCAGTGGTGCTGTTACAGACTGTGTGGCTGTGGAGGAAGAAAAAGGTTGGGGATTACATTAATTACACTTCAACCTGCTACTTTGTGAAGTCCCTTGGTAGAAAAGGGTGCAGATCGCAGGTGGCGTTACGCAGACTTTCCTGTGAAATACCGCCTTAAAGCCACAGAAATGAAACCTTGAAGTAGTTAGGTGAAGTGCTAACGTTGATGAAAGTGTTAGTTCTTGGGGTTGGGGTGAAAAGCACGGACTGAAAAGGGACACGGTGAAGCTGACGCTGAAGTGGTGTGCAATTTTTGTAAAATTTCTCAAATAGTAACAATCTTCTCTGCACTTTTTGCAAAAGTGCCTAGTATTTAAGTGAGTCTTTATGTAAAACTAAGGCTAGATAGTGTGGAGCTGAAAAAAAGAAAGCTAGCATTTCCCCTGTTGATGCAACTAAGTGGTATGCAAGTAATCCATAGTGTGTGTTGTCTGTGAGCCCCAAGTCATCCATTTCTAAAATGTGATGGGTTTTGGTGGCTTGTAAGCTTAGCTCTTTTCCTGAATGAACTGTATTTGAGTCTTAGTTTGGTAGCGTAACTTCAGTTTTTATCGCACAAAGACTTGCCACTTTGGCCTTGGGAACCTTCAATGAAAACGTTGCCTCTTGGGTTTCTGTGTGCTTTTTCCAAACAGTGTTTGGAGCCAAGACTAACAAAATCCTCTCCCTCAGCCTCCACGAGGGCATTTTGATGACTTAACAGCATGTGGAGGGACTCTTAGCAGATCTTGGTGGTGCTTTTTGTTTGTACTTGTATCAAGATGTGATTTTTATTTATTTTTTTTTTAACTGTCAGTTTGTTGTAGGTTTGCATTAGTTTCAGATCTGTTTGAAGCAGGCTTTGCTCCAGCACACAGGCTCTGCATTTGCAGCATAACCTCTGTCATGTCCCCACTTGAGACCAGGGTACCATAGGAGTTACCAGCTGCAGAGTTAATAAACCCTTTAATTTAAATTGTGACCCACTATTAGCACATGTCTTGTATCTTCTAGTTTATTGAGAATGTCACATAAAAATAAATAATTTCAAAACTAAAGGAACTTACACAGGTTAGAGAGCAGAGTAGCAGCCCCCGTTTTAAGAGAACTGCAGATCTTGTCTGCAAAGCAGAGATAACCACCTGCCTGCTCAGTTGTAAGAGGAAGATTTACTTTTTAAAAGTTGTAAATAGGACTGAAGAGTGAATGTAGACGTGATGTGGAAGCAGAAGAGGCCAGGACTAGGGTGCACACTCAGCAGCATTATCACAGAATGAGAGCGCTATTACTTTTAGCTTGCAAGCCTGTTCCTATGTATGGATCCCTTAAAAATGTTGAGCAGTGCTCTGCAGGGAGTTTAAGCCTTCTTAAAAGCAGTTGTTTGTCTTAATCTTTTGTGGACTTATTGGAAGAAATTCACTGCCCACATGCTGAAGACTGCTGGTGTGAGTTACCTGCACCTGATGCTGACAGGTTGGAGACTACTGACAGAACAGCAAGAAAAAAACCTCCCACCAACCCCAGATCCAGGCTTCTGAGAGAGCAGATATGCACGTGCTTCTGTAGGCCTGGTTTCCCTGTATTTCAGCATTGATTTGCTCCCAGGCAGCTCTGGAAGCTGCTGCATACCGCCTCGTGAGGGGTCTGCTGCAGGGATGTCGGGGTTAGGACCAGATGCTGACCCTCCGTGGCTCGCGGTAAAGTGATTTATTTATCAGCTCGCTTATTCACAACCAGAGAAACTCTGTATGAGAGAGTGGAATGAAAAGAGATTAAGGGAACAATATTTCTCCTTTAATACTTTTAATATAGCAGAGTGGGTCCAATAAAACAGGCGGTAGCTTGCGGATAGGCCCGGCTCGTGGTAACACACCTACCGCAGCGGCAAGCAGCAGCAGGAGGGAGGTGTGGTGGCTTGTGGAGATGGAACGGCTGGAACTGCTGCAGGTATTTGCTTCGTCAGGCCTCTGCTGCTTGTCGTGTTTTCCCTGCTGGCTGCTCTGCAGAGGGTAGTTGTGTGCCCAGTGCTGGGGCTGGTGTGCGGTCCCCACTGCTGGAGATTTTCTTTAAGACCAGGTAAGACAAACATTTTGTCGAGGTGGTAATAGGTATTTTTGATGTCAAGAGAATAGACAGCCTAGTTCTGTCATGTTTTCTTTGTCTTTATGAAACCGTGGGATAGCTGCACATTCAGGGAGTGCGAGCCATTCTGCGTGCCAAGACCGAGACACAGTTTTTGAGAGAACAAAGTATGTGCAGTTGAATACTTTTACAGGGGAAATGCATCGAAGAACTAAATGAAAATTTCACAAGCAGTATAATTTCTGATACTTTTCAAATTACGGTGCTTGACTTAAAACCTTAGTGTGTTTTCTGTGCTTTAAACTTTTTCTGCGAGTATATGTGTATTTTATAGCTGATATTTTGCAACTGGATTAAAAACTACTCCATCATTTTCTTGTTCTGTCTTTACAGATCCTAATTTTGTACGTACTTTCCTTACCACGTACCGCTCCTTTTGCAAGCCCCAGGAACTGCTGAGTTTACTGATAGAAAGGTAAGCAGCGGTCACCCTTTCTGAAGACATTGAAAGGCTTTGTGTATTTACCTGCTCCTTTTCCTCTCAGGTTCTCAGGGCCGTGTGGCACGTGTTTTAGTGAAATTCATAACGCAGTCATTTCTAAAACGGGATGCAGCGATGCAGGTTTTTAATGCAAGCTTCCTTTTCCCGGTTTGTTCAATTAGTTATGTAAATTAAGTGTTGGCTAGAGCGCTCGGTGTGCCTCAGCTTGGGGGTGGTACCGTTTTGAACTGCTTAACTTGATCGTGAGAGTGTATTTGAGCATGCCAAAGTCTCGATGCAAATAAGAACGGAAATGTTCTGAGCAGTTTGTGTGAAAGGCACAGACTCTTCATGTAAACAGCATTTTAATACGGTGTGATAACACCGCTCTTAAGCTTTCTTCTAATCTTCACTTAATCAAGCTAGCAGGTAGTTAAAAACATTCTACCCTTAGTCTAGACATCTTGTGATGACCAGAGAACTAGCGAATTACTGGGCAAGAGCTGGGTGTGTAGGCAGTACCTAGCCAGGGGAGGAGGGAATTCTAGGCAAACTGGATATTAGATGAGTGCTTGAGTTTCACTGCGCTGCATTTTTTTTTTTTTTTTTTTTTTTTTTTTTTTTTTTTTTTTTTTTTTTAATGCAGTAGCTCTTCATGCCCTATGTAAAGCGTTTGTGTTTTATCTTAATTGTCATCAGTTTTTTGGTTCTCGTATTCATAGGTTTGAAATCCCAGAGCCTGAGCCGACTGAAGCAGACAGACTGGCAATCGAGAAAGGAGAGCAGCCGATCAGTGCAGACCTTAAGCGATTTCGCAAGGAATATGTCCAGCCAGTACAACTCAGGTGGATTTGCTTTTAAATTTGTTCTGTTAAAGCCAGATTTTAGTCTACTGATTACATGGTGATCCCGGAGACGGTAATCTCTTTTGGAGACTGCTGTGCTGTCAAGTAGGGATTTATCACTGTCTGCAACCAGACTAATATCCCAAACTGTGTTCTGATTAGTCATACTGACTTCTGTTGTTGTTGCAACTGTACTTGGGTTCTCTGCCGCTCGCAGCTGTGATCACCACCCACAAGAACGTTGTACGGCTGCTATGGAAAGCGGGTGTGGGTGAGATGTATAACTGAAAATGCTTCTGACTGCATTTTGAATGGGTTCCTTGTTAACAGACCCTATGAAGATAGTTTCTCTGTTTCCATTTTTTTCAGCCCTGCTGGTATTTTACTCCCTTTCCCAGCCCCGTTGATATATTTGCCCACAGACAGGGAGACTCTTGTCTGTACTGCACATTGCAACGGGCTGCAGTGAATCTTCAAGGTCTTGCTGACCAAGCTAACTTGGGGAACAATTAAGCATTTCTAGCATGAATGAGGCTAATTGTTTCCCTGAAAGGGGATCAAGTCAGGAGGAGACACAGATCACAACCAATATTTGCCAGAACAACTTTTATTCGTTAAACTGTTTTTATTAGTAGCATCCAGATGTTGCTATTAATGGGAGGTAACTATATGCACAGAACCCTCAGTTTTTGCCTTACCACACACAGTTGTTCACAGTTGCCTATTTGGAGCAACAGCCCTTTACTCAAAATGAAAGGTCATGCTGACATGCCTGTATCTTCAAGGTAGGTGTTCAGAAAGTCACTTAGCAGTCCCATTTTCATCAGGCCCCTGTGTGCATATATCTAAAAAATACAAGTGTGTGTGTAATACTGTAATGTTTGTTGAGAAATAGCTCCTACCACCTTCTTGGATGTAGCCAAAGTTACACAACCTCAGCGTACCCTTCACACTTGTGTGTGCTCATGGCCTTGCACGGATTTATCAGGCCCTTGGTGTCCTCAGTTTATCAGCTGCTGTGGGTTCAGCAGGACCGTTGGTCTCCAGAGTTACCAGGCCTTGGGAGAGCTTCACATGCTGCCTCTCAGCACACACTTCTGATTTCAGCTTGCCGTTTTCTGGTAACTGTTTCTGCATCTATCCACATAGGTGCCTGTAGAGCCCTTCGTAGAAACTCACACAGAATGGGCTTTTATGACATAACTGGCTCAAGAGTTTAAATATCGCTGTATTGCTTTTGTTGCCATTTTTATAGCCTCCTCTCCTAGCTAGGCTGGAAGTCTTTTGGGGACCTCCTCACAGTGCCCCTTTGCGTGGTACAAATCCTACAGCACTGCTGACTGCCACAGCTGAGCAGGACGAGGGGTTACCAGTGAACTGGAACCTGTAGAAAAGGTTGAGGCACCAATTAACTATGTTTCTTGCTATTAATTTCCAAAATCAATTTAGTACTTTTTGTCTTCATGTGTTGTTGTTTGAGCTGTTGGTAACCTGTGCCCTGTTTCAGAGTTTCCAGGGTTTTTGGTTTGGGTTTCTGGTTTCTTTCCTTGTTGGAGAGATGAGGATACCTCTTATCATGACAGCTACTCTTTGCTGTCTAATTTTTTTTAATTATAAATAGCGTATATGTATGTGTGTGTATATATATATATATATATATATATATATATATATATATATATATATATATATATTATTTTACTCTTTGCTGTGGTTGGTGAGCTGAGTCTACTTACTGGTGCCTGCTTGATGAGACACGTGGTTTAAAGCTGCTAAGCACACACCCTTCTGTGGCTTATAGCCACTCTTTGAATTTCAGTGATACTACATGTTTCTAGGAGATACCACATGTTTCTAGTAGCTTGAAACTCTAAACTGACTTACAGATGAATATAAGTGCCTGAATTTGAGCTGTTAGGTTGATAATGCGCAGAACTTTCTAAATGCCAGTATTGGTAATAACATTAACCTCTACTACAGAGAGATCTGAGCTTTGGGAAGAAGGTGGAGAATGTGAAGATGCTTATCCCTCCCTCCCTTCCTTTTTTCCCTCCCCAGTGCTTACTCTCCATCTCAGAAAATGCTGTAGACATGCTGTGCAGTGCACAGGCGTGGAAACAGCGATGGCTTTGACTAGGCAAAATGCATGTGAGGTGATGAGAAAGAGGAGGTGCTAAGCTGGAATTGCAGTCAAGCAGAAGCAGGCAATCCTTCTTGCTTTTTCAGTATTACTGCCATGATATCTCAAAGGCAAAGATTGATCAGATAAGATCCTGTATTACTGCTGTTGGCAATTTGTTTCAAAACATCATCCCTTTTGACGGTGTCATTAATTTCCAGCCTAAACGATCTGTTTGAGTAGCCATTCTTTCACGTTATTCTTTAACTTACACACTGGGGAGAACTATTTAATTCTCCGTGTGTTCACGTAGTGCACCTTTCATTTGACTAAGCTAAACCAGCCGACTTCTCCAGTGCTGTGACTCACAACAGACTGGCAGATTACCATCAGTTGTCTGCCCTGTCCCTCCCAGATGTTCCTGCCCGGACTCTACAGGGCTGACCCACCCCAAACAGTGGTCTGGGACACAATTAGCACTAGTTTAATTTAACATCCTGAGCTGCAAAGAGTGGGGGAGTTCAGCAGCACTCTGCATACAGCTCAGCCTCTTCCACAAAGGCGATGGGGCAGGAGTGCCCACGTCTCACTGTCACCATCTCTGGGTATGGGGGCTCTCTGTTAACCCCATCATCCCGTCCCATTGGCACAGGGAAAATACGTTGTACTACTTGATGTAGGAGATGTTTGCTTGTCCTTCAGGTAAGGCAGTATGGTGCACCCCGATAAATCAAAGTGTTGAGGTACAAGCTCAACCTGTTTACCTGAAAAAGAGGCAAAACTATTTTTTTATTCTGTTACACCCAAAGAGCAGAAGGCAGAAGAGCAGTTGTAGTTCACTTTTAGAGGTGAGAAAGTTTAGCGTTATCCTTAAAGGAAGTACAGGATCTAGTACAGTCCTTTATGTAATTAAAAAGTTGTGGAAGTGGGGCAGTAGGGCATTTGCAACAACTTCTGAGCTGAAATTTGTGTATATGAAAGAAACAGTTACAAATTTGTTTCTTATCAAATGGGGGATCCTAATTAGTTTTTCTAGTTAAAAATAAATGATCAGAAAATTAAATTAGAAGTGCTAGTTTTATCTGATTTTGATAAGTTTTTTCCTCTTCTGAAATCACCTCAGTGCTAGCATTCTTTATATAAGATTTAAAAAAAAACACCAAACTATTTGCTAGGACTGTAAAATTAGGTTTTAAACACCTGGGGACTTCTGTGGTCATTGGTGCCATGCTTAGTCTTTGTTCTGCCCCTCTGTCCGTGTGTATTTGATAGTCATCACCACATGAATCTGTAACTCGGGTTTTGCAGAATCGTGTTTCACTCAGCATTTACATGGAAGTCCTTAAAAACAAACCATAATGTTTTATTTCTTCTCTCCTTCCTCAGAATATTAAATGTTTTTCGTCACTGGGTAGAGCACCATTTTTACGATTTTGAAAGAGATCCGGAGTTACTAGAGAGATTGGAGACGTTTATTTCCAGTGTAAGAGGTATGGTAACTGGTGGTCCTGTTGTTTTTCCACATTTTGGTACAACCTTCTGGTCTAATCCTGGTAGGTTTTAGGCATGAGAATATCTTTACACACATGAGTAATTTTAATGCCTTTAATTGCGCTGTTTGAGACTCTCCTTTTACGTGAGCAAGCTTTGGCCTGGAGCCTAAACAACTACCAAAGATTACTTCAAGCTTTATGATATTTACCTTAAGTGTATTTACTTCTAGACAGTAATGTTCATCCTTGGCTGACTCTACAATAGAGTTGTTAGAATTCAGACTGTCACCTTCCTCCTCCCCGTGTTGTATTTGTAGAGAATTCCTTCCACATTGGTTACAGAGATTAGGGTTTTTTTTCCCATCATCTTCTTTTCCCATTTATTGAAAGTTCCAGCTGAAAATCATTATCCTTTTAGGAGAGGATACTTGACCCCCCTGGGTTATCACTTCCTCTGGAGCAATGCCTTACAAACTAGCACATTTTTTGGCAGCCTGTGTGGAGGGCAACAGCCATTTTAATCATTATCCTGGCAATTCTAGACTTTACTTTTCACATTGCCGGACTATACGTTGGACAATATAATTCTGAAAGAAACTTAGAGAACAGTAGTTTCTTTTGCAGAGGTCTCCATGCTAACTGTTGCTGACCAGAGAGGAATAATTCAATTTTGGTTAGTCCCTTGAAAGCTATTTGCTTGAATTGCTGAAGGTACTGCCCGTTTTGTCCCCTATTTTGTGTACTGTAAATGTTGGACTGACATTGTAAACATGTATTTCTCATCTTTTTGTTCTGCAGTGCGCTAGTACAGCATGGTGCAACGGTCTCACTTGAAGCTTGTTAAATTTTTAGTTTTCCTTTAAGCAGATGAAGCTAGCAGTCAAAGTAAAGATGGTTGCAACTGGGGGGGAAAAAGTAAAATACAGTTTATACAGGGTCACTTTTCTTCTACTCAGAAACTGTCAGTAGATGTGGTTAAGCACAACTGGGCACCCAAAAATTTGTTCACATCTGTCTATTTGTTGACTGATACAGGTGCGAGAACTCAGAAGGAAAAAAAAAAAAAAGGGAACTACAAACCTAATTAATTTGCATGCAGAAATGCAGAATTTTGAGTGTATGTACAATTTTGGAGGGGATTGGTTTTATTAAATTATCAGAAGTCATTTAAGATGGTATTAAAAAAGGAGGGGTTTTTTACGGTTTTTGTTTTGCAGGAAAATCCATGAAGAAGTGGGTGGAATCAATTGCTAAAATCATCAAGAGGAAGAAAGCTCAAGCAAATGGAATTAGTCACAACATCACCTTTGAGAGCCCGCCTCCCCCCATCGAGTGGCACATTTGGCGCGTTGGGCACAGCGAAATGCTGGACCTCATGACTCTGCATCCCATAGAAATTGCTCGACAGCTGACACTCCTTGAGTCTGACCTTTATAGGTAGGGATTGATTCTTTTTCAGATTATTTGAGGAAAAAAAAGTCCCAATTTGTAGAATCGATCAACAGTATGTCCTCTTGACTTTTAGAGTTTATGGAAAAAGGTTTTCTTGCTTTCTGTTTGCTATCAAAATACGCAAGGCAAAAAAAAAAAGGAAGTTTTTTCATCTCTATATCAGACTTCTGACAACATAAGTATGGGAAGGACACTGAAATATTACGAGTAGATAACTGCATTGTCTCCTTGTTAAAAGCAAACCTAATGTTACATTAATAAGAAAGGCTTGTCGCAGCATAAAAAGAGAACATGATTGTCTCTGCTCCTCTTTCATAGCTGCATAGCAGAGGCCTGGGTGTTCTGTGCAATACCCATAGCCCTGGTACGTCAGGGTCCTCTCATCTGATCCTGAAGAGCTTTTTTAGTCTGGTACCATACATACTCCTCTGTTTCCTACCTCTAATAAAGAGAGCTAGCCTTGATGTGAGAGCTAGGTTTTGCTGGGTAGAAATTCTTTAAGGTCCTACAAAACTTGAAGGTGAAGCATCCTTTTGTGCTTCAGTGACAGCAGGGTTTCTGTTGAAATGGGCCACTTTTCCAGCAGGTTGCTGAAAGTACTTCAGCTTCCTATTTTAAAATTGTAACTGTCTTTAAGTTGCTTTCTCATGCTTTCAGGAAATTAAACTTATTCCTTTGTGACTTTCTTATCTGAAAATACTTATTCAAAAATGCCAGTTTCAATTAAGATAAAAATACATTTCTTTCTGTACTTAAATACTCGCCAAAAACTTATTTTAAGCAACTGTTTTGCAGCAGATTAGATTGGATTGTATTTGTGAAATATCAAGTCGTGATTAAAGGAAGAAATAATCTTTTAATGCAAACGCAGAACATACAATTATTGTTTGTATTGAGCATTCTTCTGCATCTTGTTTTGTCATTATCAGGGCAGTACAGCCTTCTGAACTCGTTGGTAGCGTGTGGACTAAAGAAGATAAGGAAATTAACTCCCCAAATCTATTGAAAATGATTCGTCATACTACAAACCTTACTCTTTGGTTTGAAAAGTAAGTACAGGTGGTGATAGTGTAGTGGCATTAACTCCTGCTGAACTTCAGAAAGAAGCATTTTTCTGCTATTTGATTTCTGTTGCCTTGAGTCTGGAGGTTGCTGTAGAGTATTACAGTAATTTCAGGTTTTGGTTCAAGGGTGCGTGCCATGCTAATCGCATATGCTTCCTCTTCCTGGGACTGGAAGATAATTTTTTTTTCCAGTTACATCCACTTGGTCAGCACAAACCTTGCTTGCATTTGTACAGTACATCAAAAGGTGCTGAAGGCAGTGCGGGACGCAGCACCGCTTTTCTGCATCTCTGGTGAAAGCAGTCGAGTCTGTCCCCTTGTCTTAGTCTCTCTCCCTTCTCGTGTGAGATGATCGTGTACTTCTGAGGGCATGGCCAGTGCTGCAGATTGTGTGTCTGTACCTGGTCAGTTTGAAATGGAGAGACAGAGGCATGAGAGTCACCCTGCTTACCCTGGATCGTGCTTGAGGTTTGCTTTATTGGTTTACAGGATGTGCCAAAACCTTTCTTGCTTTCCAACTTGAACATATGTAAGACATGATTACATAAATTTGTACTTGAGATTCTTGAAAGAGAGCCAAAGTGTGCACACTGGATGTACTGTACAGCTTTTGCTTGGAAAATTTTGGTTTTGTAGCTAGCAAAATGTCAGATTTTATTTATCAGTGTTTCTCAAATTATGGCTTTGATTAGGTGCATAGTGGAAACCGAGAACTTTGAAGAGCGAGTGGCTGTGCTGAGTAGGATTATAGAAATCCTGCAGGTTTTTCAAGATCTGAATAATTTCAATGGTGTTTTGGAGATCGTCAGTGCAATGAACTCTGTGTCCGTGTACAGACTAGATCACACATTTGAGGTACGTTTTGGGCATTGCTCTTGGAGGAAAAAAAAATCAGAATACAGAAAAATACCTCACGCCCTTCTGAGGTGAAATCTATAGTATTCATATCACACTTGCTTCCAGTGAAGAAAAGTGTGAAATGTTCAAAGTTATTTATGAGAAAACGAGATGGGCTGGGTGTCCCAAAGGGTTTGTAATGGCAAGTGGAGCTTTTCAGCAGATTTTTTCTTATGTGTATTCAGCCCAAAAAGTGGAAATGCCGTGGCCATTTGGTCATTGTTCATTTACCTGTCTGAAATCACTGAATCATTCAGGTTGGAAAAGACCCTTGGGATCATCAAGTCCAACCATCAACCCTACTCTACAAGGTTTTCCCCTACACCACATCCCCCAACATCTCATCCAAATGACCCTTATGAAAAACCTGCTGCTTCAGTCCAGAGTTCTGTGGGTATAAAGAGGAGGATCCCAGGGCTGAGAACCCTGGACTGGAACACTTGAACAGCATTTCCTACTAACGCAAGAAATGAGGGTGGAAGGGCATGGGGAGGGGATAGCTAAAACTTGGATTTTGACCGATCACAAGAACTTCTCTTGGCTGAGTCTCAGAAAATTCAGACTGTCAGAGGCACAAACAAATAGCTGCTGAAATGGTTTAGGTGGACAGTAGGAAGAGAGGCTACTACACGAGTAGTGATTCCATTTTTCACTTGCCAAGGAAAGAATTGCCTAGGATTTGGCAGCAAAGGCTGCCTTGACTAAAACAAAAAAAGAAGTATGAATAAAATGCTTTGAGTTTTGTATGTCTTTGAAAGGCAGCACGAAGATTTCAAGTTAAAATCCAAATTAAATGTTTAATTTTTATTAAAGACCAGCATGATACTTTTAAGTTGATAGAAAAAATAATAGTCTGTTTACAGTAGCCTCATGATTCACGTGACTAAATTGTTGGTCTGATAGTGCTGTGTCCAGAGCAAACCATTTACAAAAGAGGTTCTTTCAAATCTGAATTTCACTTCCTAAGTTTTGCTGAGAGAACTAGGGAATTGCCTTGGTTTTGCTAACTGTGCTATTGAGAAGATTTGCATCCCTATTTTTTTCTTTGATCACTTTAGGCACTACAGGAAAGAAAAAAAAGAGTTTTGGATGAAGCAGTAGAATTAAGTCAAGATCATTTTAAAAAGTATCTAGCTAAACTCAAGTCAATCAATCCACCCTGTGTGCCTTTCTTTGGTAAGTAACACCAGGGCCAACTAATCCTGTGTGCATTGTCAGTCTTAAGCTGAGTTTGATGCAGATGTGTTACTATTGTTTAAAGTGTTCAAGGTTGTGTTTAGCTCTAAAAAAACCTAATATAACATGTGACTTTAGACCTCCTACGTTTGTAATGTTTTTAGACTTCATAGAATGGTTTGGGTTGGAAGGGACCTTAAAGATCATCTAGTTCCAACCCCCTGCCACGGACAGGCAGGGACACCTTCCACTAGATGATAAAAGATGTAGTGTCTTTCATGTAAAATTTATTTTTCTAGTTGAGTATACAGATTACTGGCATTATACTGGTATAAATATTACCTTACTTTTTTATAGCACCGCCTCCACATTGGTGATCTGTTTATGGCAATGACCTGAAGATGGTTTTTGCTAAACTCAGAAACTCATGTGAAGGAGATAAAACATATTACTTCAGTGATAAATTGTTCCTATGTAAAATGCAAACTTGATTCATTCTTGGCAGTCAATAAACTGTTGGAGTGAAAGGGAATGGTCTACATGTGCTCAGACTTTTCCATCATTCATTAGAAAGCATGAAATCTGCCCTTGGAATGAAAATGAAATTCAATAAATACTTCTCTTTTTATCAGGAATATACCTAACAAATATTTTGAAGACAGAAGAAGGGAATCCTGACTTCCTTAAAAGACAAGGGAAAGAATTAATTAACTTCAGTAAGAGGAGAAAAGTGGCTGAAATTACAGGAGAAATTCAGCAGTATCAAAACCAGCCTTACTGTTTACGGATAGAGCCAGAAATTCGGGTAATCAAATGTTAAGTATTTGTTTTGAGGGTAGGAGAGGGAAAAGAATGTACACAACAAAAAAATGACAGTCTTCTAGTACTAGACCTAATCTTGCATGAAAGTGGCCATCAGAAGAGGGGGGCAACAGTGGCTGGTAGACGACAAAGTACCACCACTGCAAAGGACTGGCCAGAAGTGGGGATTTAGTTGCTTGGATTCCAGGTTCCAGGTCTTGTTCATCCCTGATGGTTCTGCAGGCTGGTCTCGGAGAGAATTTTTAGCAATGAAGCAGAATAAGGTAGTGACTAAACAGCAGAACTTTTGGAAGAAAAAACAGTTGCCTTTCACCTAAAATGCCGTGTACGTGCCTAGTGCACTTTGTCCTTCGGACATTCTGTAATGGCACCTCTGACAGAAGCCTCCTGGCCCTGCAGACAGAATCACAGAATCATTCAGGTTGTAAAAGCCCCTCAGGATCACCGAGTCCAACCCTCAGCCCGACTACAAAGCTCTCCCCTACCCCACATCCCCCCACAGCTCATCCCAACGGCCCTGAAACCCCCCCAGGGATGGGGACTCCCCCCTCCCTGGGCAGCCTGTTCCACTCTCGGACCACTCTTGCTGGGAAACATTTTCTCCTCCTGCCCAGCCTGACCCTCCCCTGGGGCAGTTTCCAGCCGTTCCCTCTTGTCCTGTCCCTGATCCCCTGGGAGCAGAGCCCAGCCCCGGCCTCTCTGCAATGTCCTGTCAGGAGCTGCAGAGAGGCATGAGGGCTCCCCTCAGCCTCCTCCTCCTCACACTGAACACTCCCAGCTCCTTCCCTGGCTCCTCACAGGATTTATTCTCCGGCCCTTCCCCAGCCTCGTTGCCCTCCTCTGCCCTCGCTCCAGCCCCTCCAGATCTCTCTCGTGTTGAGGTGCCCAAACCTGGACACAACCCTCCAGGTGTGGCCTCACCAGTGCCGAGCACAGGGGACTGTCACCTCCCTGCTCCTGCTGCTCACAATAGTTCTAATCCAAGCCAGGAGGCCGTTGGCTTTCTTGGCCCCTGGGCACACTGCTGGCTCCTGTTCAGCTGCTTGTCAGTGAGAACCCCCAGACCCTTCTCTCCCAGACAGCTCCAGCCACCCCTCCCCGAGCCTGCAGCCATGCAGGGGGGTGTTGTGGCCCAAGGGCAGGACCTGGCACTTGCCCTTGTTGAAGCTCATGTGTCATTCAGCACTGCAGACGCTAAGCAGATGTGGGGATGCACCAGTGTCCACCCGCACTACCTTTAGAAACGAGAGGATGCTCAAGTAGTTACTTACCTAAGACAAAGGCTAGTGAATCCCAGATGATTTGAAGGTATTTAAATGCTGAAACAGCAATGAGCCATGTAATGGTAGGTAGGTGGGTTTTATGGAGGCAATAATGATGGACAAGCGTAGCTGTAAGTGCCCAGCACTTCCCAATCGCCGGGCTAATTCTAGAAAACAGCAGCATGGACAGCTCTCCATCTCAGCAGCGGGCAGGAAGCAACAGAGAAGTTAGTTACGTGAAGAATTAAACAGGCAATAATACTGCTGTTTAAAAGGGTTTTTGCGTTGCCTGTTTAATTGCTGTGGCCATGTCTGGAAAGGCTTTAGGAGATTTTTCAGTGTTGATAAGCCAAGGAAGTACGTTCAGCTCAAGGGAGGGCAGGATTGGTGCTGCAGAAAGCAGAGGTGGAAACGCTGTGGCTCACCACGCAGAGACACCAGCTGCAGCAGGAGCAGCTAAGTGGGACCGCCGGGCGTTCAGGGAGCCCAGTCCTGTGCTCTGTCCCTGCCTCTGACCTCCTGCTTTTGTCCTCCATCCCATCCTGGGCTTCGTAGTCAGCTCAGCACCTCCAGAGCACCTCTGAGAGACAGCACTAGCACAGCCTTCGCTTCCACCACCGTCTCAGGTTTTTCCTGGAAATAAGCTTCACTGTAGTGAGAAGCAAGAATTTAAATCAGTGGCTTATAAGCATTTCATTAAAATTCTGTGTATGTGCTTATTTTTTAAATATTATTGATTCTTGTTTCCTTTAGAAATTCTTTGAAAATCTCAATCCTATGGGGAAGATACCAGAAAAAGAGTTTACAGATTATCTGTTCAACAAGTCATTAGAAATTGAACCTCGAAACTGCAAGCAACCACCCAGATTTGTAAGTCTTGTCCTGCAGACTAAATAGCTGAAGTCCACTGTGAAAAAAAAATACATTGTTAACTCAATACACTATATATATATTTCCTTCAGAATTATGTATCATCGGATTATTTTTCAGCAAAACTTGACTTAAAAATACTTTTTATTTGGGATATTTTTTGCTACTAAAACATACTACCTTTGGCTTATTTTAGAATTAACATTTTTTTTCCCCAAAGCCTAAAATATTACTACTTAAATTTGAGTTTCTTACCATACAGCCATTTGATAGAATACGTAATAACATTTCTTATTTCACACTATCAAGAAATCTGATAAAATATTAATTGAAATATGGATTTTATACGTAATTAATGTGTTACATTTTCTTTAAGTAAAGGTTAATTTCTGTTTTGCTCTAAATATTTTGCATTGTTGCAAAAATTGAAGAATTGATAAGGTGCAGCCTTCTTGTTGAACAAAATATAGTTCGATTCAAAGGAGCAGCAATTTTGTCTTTTTTTAAAAATAGCTACTGGAGCTCAGCATTCATTTTAAGCCAAAAGATTGCTCTGTACAGCACTGGGGTTTTATACATTGTAATTGTGCTTCTCAGTAGCTGGAGACATCTAATTTTTGGGAGAGCTCTAAATCATTTTAGCAATCACATGTTAGAGGAATGAGTGAGATGATACTACAAATACAGCAAGAAAACAACAGAAATTACTGTTGCAAAAACGCGGCTTACAGTAATTTCTCTAAAATGTTTTCTAAAAATAGATAATTCGTGCTGCCCGTCTTGGTCAACTGGATATGAATTGTTTATGGTTCATGATTTCCAAACTAGACATTCTTCTTGGAGTTTCAGGAAAGTCCCGTTCCGGGTACTGTAATGTGGTGGAGTCATGCCTACCCCTGTAGGATTGGAACATAATTCATCTTCAAAGAACCGGCTTTGATCTGTGCTGTGTTACACCTGAGTCTAATGAGGCTTTTTTCATTCACACCAGTAATGTGTGTGTAAGAATTTCGTCCCGACTAACCCCGAGCACGTAGACAACGTGTGTCTGAGCGCGTCCTTGCCCTTGGACACTTGTAGGGGCCTGGTGACCTTCTGTGGTGTAAGCACAGAGCCTCTCCTATGATGCTGTTACAAGGCTCTTTTGCAGGCCTGGAGGGGGGCACTTAAAATAACTTGCTTTCTCCCAAGGTTGTAACTTGTTCTTCCTGGTGTTTTGTCCTGGTTGGTGTGCATCTGAAACTTGACTCATCATAGCTGTGGAAAAAAAAAAAAAAATTATTAAGCTGGGGGGGAAAAAATGCACTAAGCTGCATCCATAACTTTTCAGTAGACTCCTGCTGTATAGATAACTACAAACTGTACCTCGAGCCAATTGTAGGAAGGCTGTACCATTTTTTAAGGTATATTTGATAAGTGCTTTTTAAAAAAAGGTCTCATAGAGACTTGGCAGCTTTGCTATCTGAAATGTTAGCAGTACTAACCAGCTTTACTTTCTCCAGCCTAGAAAAACAACATACCCTCTGAAATCTCCCGGGATAAGGCCCAATACCGGCAGACACGGCTCCACCTCTGGCACCTTGAGAAGTCATCCACTGCCACTTGAAAAGGAACCAAGTAAGATAAGTTTCAGTAGAATCACTGAGGCAGAGCATGAATCAACAGTATCGGCACCAACTTCTCCAAACACACCGTCTACGCCACCAGTGTCTGCTTCTTCAGAGTTCAGTGTGTTTTTAGACATCGATCTCAACAGTTCTTACGGTAAAAATGTGCAGTATGATTTAATAATTGTTGTTGCTGTCCCTCAGGCTTCCAAAATGTGTTGGGGTATACACCAGACTTTTAAAAAAAAACAAAAAAACAAAAAAAAAACACCTGAACAAACCACTTAAGAATTTCATTGTGGACTGTGAAGTTGTGTCAGTGTTAATGTGTACTGTGGTTTGGAAATCCCTGCTGTAAGTAGTTAAAGAACAAGTGACATTTCCAGTCTTTTTGCCTGCTGGAGCTGAGGCAGTCTGTTATGGGAGACATCCCCATGAGGCACTACTGCCTGCTTTACCACGTATGGCATGTCCGTAGAGAGAAATGGTGCTGAGGGGCCTGGCATCTGCACCAGTGGGTGTTTCTGGAGTGGGCTTGTGCACTGAACACCCCTCACTGGTTCTGGTTTAATTTCCTTTGAAGGGAATCCACCAGTCTGTATGTGATCCGAAGCACCAGAAGCAGGGATGGGCAGGACACTCACTCCGAAACGCAGTCTTGATTAAAAAACCAACACTCTTAGTTCAGATGCGCTGATAACGCTCGCGAGCTCTGCCTGTAGCTGTGAGCAGCTCCTTAGGCTCAAAAGCAGCGCCTGGCAGGCCTTGGCTCTGCTCTGGGGGGGCTGCAGACTCAGCAGGTGGGTTAAGCCTGGTGGGGGGCAAAAACAACAAAAAAAAATTTATATGGTAAATTCTGAGAGCATTTGGGCTACAGAGGAAGCAAACAACAACATGGTAGTGTCAGAACAGAGTGGAATGATGAAGTTTAATTCCCAGCATAACTTAGAATCTCTGGTTCAGGAATGTTTTTACACAGGAAGGTTTTTAATTCATATTAGTAATAGATAAACTTGGAGAGTATCGTGATCTTAGGGGCATTCACACACAGATGTGCTGTAGTGCAGTTGTTCTGTCTGGAAGGCCTTTAATTGATTTTTCATTTAACAGGTAACAATAGCATCTTCGCTCCCGTCAGTTTGCCACAGTCGAGTGAGTATCATAATTCCGTTGAGTGTTTCATTTAACTCTGCTTTTTCTGGCTTCGGGAGAGCTGAATGGGAATTAAAATCTGAAATCTGGGATGAAAACGGGGGCTGCGTTCATTAGGGTTCTAAGAGGATTTTTTGTACAGGTTTTAGATAAATGTTCACTAAAGCAGTCTGTGAAGTGTAAAAACTGTCTGGGTTGGTTTGGTTTATTTTCCCTCCAGCCTCTGGCATGATTGTGCCTGTGTTTGGAATGTCCTTGGTGATTATTTTGTTTGTTTAATGCTACAAATTAAGCCATCTGATAATTTCACATTACCACTTAGTGAAAATATAATTTCACATTACCACTTAGTGAATATATTCTATTGCTAGGAAAGAAGAGGGGCTTTTTTGTGCCACAGCTGTGAGTGATATCCTGTATTAATCTGTTTTCAACTTCTCTATTTACTCCGTTATTACACAGGCACATACACTTTTTCATAATATGTTTAAAATTTCAAACTGGAGAGCACAGGTACCTAATGTATTGATACAAAGTTCTGTGCGTTTCTAAGAGGAAAAAAAGCAAAAGTGTGACAAAAGTCACAAATACAGGTTAGGGGGGGTAGTGTTGTTTCTTAACTTTGAGGATTTCTTTTTTTGGTCTCTGTAAAAAGGAGGGATTAGAAATGTCCTAAAATGCTGTAAGAGTTAATCTCATCTGTTCAGTGTATAATTCTCCTGCTTTAGAAGTGTTGCAGACCTGTTAACAAAGCCTCTAAATTTCTGAATTTGAACGTGTACCCATATGGCAGAGAGAACAAACCTTCCATGTAACTGAGGCATGTGGGCAAACCGCAGGCACTGTGGTAAATGGTGTGGAGGGGGGGTGGGGGTGTGAATTCTGCAATAGAGAGAGGATTGCAGAGAAAGTTAAGTGCTCACTAGGAGTTCACTTTATTTTTCTGTCCTTTAGCATTGCCTGCTAACTGTTGATGTGTATCTTTGATACTGGGAACAGGAGACCACTTTGTGAGGCCTATATCTGATTAAAGAAATGAATGAGAATTTCATATGGCCGAGGTTAAGGGTTTGTGTTGCTGTTGAGCACAAAGATCTGCTTATTTGAGTTGCTTCTAGTTTGGCTTAGTATTCTAGCATATGTTCCTCAGATGTGGCACAAGCAGTAAAATTACCTGCTTTTCTCTCTCTCCAGAGACTTTCTTCAGCTCATGGGGTAGCTTTCCTAAATTAAGTGATGAGCCTCAAAACCCTCCTCCACTTCCGCCACGAAAAAAGATGGATCAGGATGCTTCTAATGCTAAGGTATTTCTGTCCTGTATTGAGTAACTTCAATAATAAATCAGGGAACATCCAGAATAATTGTGGTTGGAAAAGACCTCTAAGATCTTTTGGTTGGAAAAGACCTCTAAGATCATGGAGCTGAACCACGTAGCCGCGTAGGTGTAAATGCAGTGCTCTGCTTGCCCTTTTGGAGTTTCAGGTTTCCAGCTTCCAAACTTCTGCTAGCTAATTCAGAACCACGGTGGCCACATTCAGATGAAAGGCACAGCTACACCAGGATCATGTTTCTGATCACACCAGCAGCAGAAATCAAGAGAATCTTCTGTCTAAAGATACGTTATTTTATCTAAACATCTACGTTTCTTACAACGTTCTCTTCTCTGATGTTATAGGGAAGTTTAAAGGCGGATGACGATCCTCCAGCAATTCCACCTCGGCAGCCGCCACCTCCAAAGATACAACCTCGTGCTCCTGCTTACACCACCCCCTTCGAGCAGCCGCTGCACAGCCCTCCTCCTCCACCCCCCCGGGACCCTCTTCCCGATACTCCACCACCGGTACCGCTCCGGCCGCCCGAACACTTCATCAACTGCCCCCTAAACCTCCAGCCGCCGCCGGTGGGACGCTCGCACAGAGATCCCGAGTGGTTCCGGGAGGCGAGCACGGGCCCCAGCTCTCCCGGCACCCCTCCCAGCACCCCCTCTCCCAGGGTGCTGCGCCGCTGCTGCGTCATCAGCACCAATCACAACAACCTGGTCCACCCGGCGGCGCCCCCGGTCCCTCCCCGGCACAATTCGAGCCCTCAGTTACCAAAACTGCCACCAAAGACTTACAAAAGGGAGCTCTCCCACCCTCCTTTGCACAGACTGTCTTTGCTAGAAAATGCAGAAACTCCTCAATGACCTTAGCCGTAGTAGTCATTGACACTGGAATAGTATTTGTAAAGTTCCTTTTTTTTTTTTTATTTATTCAAAAAAGGCAGTGTATTTTACTACTTTCACAAATTATGCTCTTAAAGTGCTGCTGATCGGAGAGAAAAAAAAAAAAAGTTTAAATTGGGAAAATAAGACTCCACACACTCTAGCCTGCGTCTGTTTGACAGCATTACCCTCAGGTGATCAGCAGCATTGCCTTGTTTCACCTCCTCAGTGCCGACAGTTATGCCAGTATACATACACACACACAAAAAATCTATCTTTTGCACTGTAAACTACACTAAATGAATTTAAACTGACATCATTTAATTGCACTGAGCCAAAAAAAGGTGCGTCTGTGGAATTTTTTCAAATTTGAGCACTAGTGGCCTTTTTTTTTTTTTAACTAAAACACAAGAACAATGGGGTGATTACCCAACACGAGGATATACAGTGTTACTAATTTTAAACCTCTGGCCACTTGCCTTTTGAACTTCATGTAAGCTTGGAGGTTTATGAGTGACAGCTACTGTTCTCAAATATTTTCATGCCATGTCTTAATTGCCATTGATTTGCTGCTGAAGACGAAAAAGAAAAACAGGTTTGAATCTAAATACCAAAATATTCAGTTGGTCTTGATTATTCTGAGAAAGGATCGACAAGGACATTGCCTTGGATATTGGAAAGGATCCCTAGTACTTAGCATGCATCTTGTTCAGATGTGCCTTTTTGTTTTGGTAGGCAAAGGTGTCTTAAGCTAAAGAGTTGTCTACTGTTCTGGAGAACAAAGCTATATGCCGTGTATGTACAATTGTTTATATTGTATATTTACAGATAATGCTAATAACCTGTATAAATTTAAGTGACTTGAGGCCTATAATACAGTCTGCTACTCTTGCGATCTTATGCAGTCAGAAGTGTTTCCTCTGGCTTAGGAACAGTCTTGCCTTCCAAACCTAATAACTTTCTTTAGATCTCACTTAACTTAATCGTGAATCCATTTTGGAAATTGGTAGCATTTAAACCAGCAAACACTTAAAGCTTTATTAAACTTTTTAAACTGATAAGTGAATGGAACTTTTATTTGCCAGTTGAACTACTTGTTTGAACTGGTGTGAGAGTGAGTCTGTTTTACTGGTAGTACTGTAGCAGCATTTATAAAGTGGCCAGAAGCCACATTTTATTTACTGGTCTGTGGCCTTTTACTGTGCTTTGTATCAGAGTTCTTAACAAGATTAATAAATCACCCCAGTCTTAATTTTTAAGAGCTTGAGCAGTGCGTGTTCCTTGTAAGGACAAGGTTGGGAGTTGGATTTAGTACAACTTTGGCAATACAAAATGCCACAGTTTTCCATGCTGCTGGTCATCCTTCGGTCTGCCGCTGGGCTGCGAAGCTTCAAGGCAGTTGAGCCCAATACACAACAGCTCCCCGGGAGTTTAACCTTTCACTAACCCATCGGATGCCTTGGCCCCTCGGGATGGAGAAGTGGTTTCCATTTTTTCTGGCTCCTGACCGGAGGAAGAGCACTGTGCTGGGATCTGCACCAGCTCAGGCTTCTAAGTCACATTCTGGCTTTTCATCAGCCTGTCTATACTGCTCCCACCATCTCCGGCATTCCCTCTGGAAAAGGAGAGGAGATAAGATTGTTCTCCTGGGAAGATGTATTTTGCCATCTGTCTCTTGGACATTCTGCTCCTACTGCCTGTCCCCTTCATGCTCCTTCCCGAGGAAGAAGAGATGGGTAGAATCTATTCGTGCAAGGGGCAGAAGACACTCAAGGGGAGCTGCTTCATTTTGCAAAAATAATGTTCAAGAAGTCCCAGATTTGCGTGAACTGGGAGTGCAGGAAATGAACAATGCCTTGATAATGGTTTTTCCTCTGCAGCTCGTAACTTTTCTGTACATTTGGGAAGAACTCTTCTATTTGTATCTGATGGTGAAATTCAGCTCAGTGAAGTACTCCCCCAATGCTCTCTACATAGAAAAGGCAGGCTGTCAGGTTTCACTGGTCCAGTGATCCGCAGAATAAGCTGAACAAGTGAAATTTTTTTATTCAGTTCCTTGTATTAACTCTGAAGTCCTCACCAGCAGCTATTGTTAAACAAGATGAGTAATGTTTTTTCAGACTTTGACATTTTTTGTGGTGTTGAAGGGGAAAAAATCCTCTCCCAAATTTTAGAATATAGAGATGTTAGCTTTATACCTTCCTATACAAGTGCTTAGACCAGCAGCATTTTCAATATCCCATTTTAAACTATATCACCGTTTTATATTTTAGTCCTGACTTAGCAAAGCCTTTACTGGATCATTTTAAGCTGAGCATCTGCTGATCAGTAATGGCTTCCCTACATATCAAAGTACTTCCCTCCAGTGAGACCTTTGTGAGGTTCTGGCATGTAATAGACTTCGAGGAGAGTTTAAACTTGTGGAAGCAGAAGTGTGTGTTTATTAGAGTTAACCCTGAAATGATCCTGCACAGGGATGCCAGTCTCAGAACAGCCCTTTTAGGTGCCAACTTACACTTTGTGTTGACAGCCTACAGAAGTACCTGGGGGGCTGTGAAACAAACGCTTCCTTCTTTTAACTCAAACCTGATTGTGAAAGGGTGAGTTTGGGCAGCAGTTCTAAATTCCACACCAAAGCCAGAGGAAAAGAAATATTTAACTTTCAGTGGGGCCCAGAATGGTTTGATTAGAAAAAATAGTGATGCAGTTAACAAAATCTCAAGCCTTGGTTGTTGTTCTCCGTTAGATTAACACAGGTAGGTGTTCCTGCAAAAGCCTCTCGCTGCTACCTGGGGATGTTCTGGGCAGCAAAGGTGACTGGTTCCTGGTGGGCCTTCGTGCCCCGTCCTCTGCCGTGGACCAACAGGACAGACACAAGCCTGTGAGTCCACGTTGCTGTTTTGCCAGCGGCAGGCCCTGTGAAGCAAGTCCCCGACCTCACCACCTTCCTCAGCTGCTCGCTTCTTCTCCCCCAATGCCCCTTCAACTGTGCCTCGTCGTGTTCTGAACTGAATGTGGAAAAGGATCCTGTGGGTTTTTTTCTTGCAGGCTGGGCTTAAAGCATAATCACCCACAACTGATCAACAGTAGCACTGGGACAGTGAAGCTCCAGGAGGATGAGAGGAGAGCAGGGACCTCTCGTATTAGGTCTCCCAACAAGGACAATAATGTGAAAATACAAGACACTTGTGCTAGCAGGCAGCAGCTAAACGCCGTCCCTAGCTGCATTACCCGTGCATGAAGCGTGACTCTTACCTTTACAGAGCCAGTTCTGGAGTTAATCTAAAGTGTATAAATCACAGCATGATCCCAGAAAAGGGACCTTGCTTATGGATAACTTACCACACAATTAAACTGTCCTCCAAGCATAACAGGAGCTGGAAAATACAAAGAACTGTTCCAAGGCAGGGCGGCGATGCCAGCGGCATGAAGTATGGTGGGAAGAGCAACACGTTCCCCAAGTAACTGTTTGGCTGTGGAAGTGGTTGAAGGCAGGCAGATTCCCACCCGTGCGGTTCCAGGGAATGCCAAGACAGTAGTAAATAACATTTCAGTTACTTCAAAATTAGAGGGATACATAAAAAGAGAATTAAAAAAAAAATGCTAGAGGGGGAAAAATATGAAATTGCTGGGTTTGAAGTTGGCTTGTGTGGGAAAAGGCAGTTCCCTCTGAAAAGTGCAGATAAACAGATGGAATGTGATGGCAGTTAACAGCAGAAGAAACATCTTTTCTAGTTGTTATCAGTGATCCTATTTTGAGTTACTGAGTTTTAGCGTTTCCCCCTGCTCCGGAGGCAGAATAACTTCTTTGGGTGCTATGCTATTGCTGTAGTAGATCAAGAAGGGATGAAAGGAACCATCTTTTTTATTTTTTTTTCCATATTTACTCCAATTTTCAGAAATACACCAGAAGTCTGAATATACCATTTGGAATCCCTAGCAACTGCAGTAACATCTCCCTGGGCAAGGGAGCAAGCTACAAAATAAGCAATGAAAACTTTCTTCCCTGTGTCCAAGGAAAAAAATCAAGAGCCTTTGCGCTTAGAGGTGCTGATGCGCAGTCAACCCCTACTTAGCTGCTTTTTGAAAGCCTTTTTATAAGCTTAAATGTGGAATGAGGGGCTGTAACACCTGTGATTTCTAGCAATCCCCTGGCTTTAGCGGGACGGCGTCCCTGTGCTGCGTACAGGCTGTACTGAGTCACTCGTGAGGTCGGTTTGTAATCGCTGCGTGCTGTCGGCCAGCTCACACGTGGAAAGTTTTCTTCAGGGCTGGTGTTTAACACGATGGGGTAAGCCGGGAAGGTTTGACTTTGCTGCCAGGTGAGCTCCTGCCTGCGGCCTCCAAGGGGAGGTTTCTGGGCTCTGAGGGAAGGCCGCAGCACCCGGCCGAGCGATGCCCGCCCCTGTTCTCTCCTGTGCTGCCAACTAAAAACATGTAAAAAGTACATTTTCCTGTCAAGCAAGGGGAGCCCGGACCACTCTGTCGTGTAATGAACTTGCCGGAGAGCGGGTCAGGAGGGGAGAGGGTGGGCAGGGAACTGCTGCCCCTGTC